GAGCACTCATGTCAGTGCCTAACGTAGTAGATCAGTGTCAGAATGCAGCAGCTGGCTCCTTACATGGTGACTTCTCCATCTTGGTTCATTCATTTTAAGTCTAGACCTGGCTTTCTCAAATTCTTGCCCTTGTTTTGCGGAAACCATTATCAAGTGATTAGAATTAGCACTTGGTTAATTCACTCAGCAACTGTGCCAGGCACTGCACTAGCACAGAGGGGAAGGTGATAGATTGAAAATTGCCCTACTCTCAAGGAATTTATATTTTAATATATGTGTTAGTTCCCTATTGCTGCTGTAATGAATCTACTATTTGGTGGCTTAAAACAACACAAATTATCTTGTGATTCTGGAGGTTGGAAGTCCAGACTCAGTTTCTCAGGGTGTGCAAGGTGTAAAATCAGGGTGTCAGCATGGCCAGGTCCTGTTGAGGCTCCGAGGGGAGAATGCTTAGTCTTTTTGGAGGCTGCCTGCATTCCTTGATTCACAGCCTGTTCCTCCATTTTCAAAACTGCCAGTGCACCCTCTGTCTTCCTTGATTTCTGTGGTGTCTCCATGTGCCTCCCTCTTATAAGGATACAAGTTGGGCCTTGTGGGGTAATCCTGGGAAATCTCCCTATCACCAGATTCTTAACTCACATCTCGAGAATCTCTTTTACAGATAATGTATTTGCAGGTTCTAGGGATTCGGACTTTGATGTTGGGACTATTGTTGAGCCTAACACAGAGTGGGAGACCACAGTAATTCTGTCAGTGATGACTACTCTGAAGAAAAACTACCTGGAGAGTGGTTGAGATGCTATGTTGGGGGTGTGTGTGTGTGTGTTGGGGAGGGGGTTGGGGTGTAAGGCAAAGCCCCTGGTAGGGGGCATTGAAATGGAGTCTGTTTGTTGTAAGTAATTTGCCTGGATGCTTGATTTAGAGTCCTTTAAATGTTACTGATTATGTGAAAGTGAAAGTCGCTCAGTTGTGTCCAACTCCTTGTGAGTTCATGGAATTCACTAGGCCAGAATACTGGAGTGGGTTTAGCCTTTCCCTTCTCTTGGGGATCTTCCGAACCCATGGATCAAACCCAGGTCTCCCTCATTGCAGGCAGATTGTTTACCAGCTGAGCCACAAATGTTACTGTGGCCCTTAAGTATTTTAGGTACATGTTACCTGAGGTCTAGATAACTGGTCATGAAGAATCAGTGTCCCTGGTTCTCCTGGAAGAAAGGTAGTACAGCCAGCATCTCGACTTCGTGAGCAGGAAGACAGTTCTTTGATTTATGCTTACCCCTTAGTATTACTGTAGGGTACTTTTCACCCAGCACCACCTATCTATCAGCACTGATTAAAATTTCCTCTAGGCCAGCAGTTGGCAATTTTTGTCCTGCAGAAAGCCAGATAGTAAATATTTTAAGCTTTGTGGGCCATATGGCCTCCTTGAAACTAATCAACTGCGCTCATGTTGCAGAAACAGCAGCCATAGACAGTTGCAGCAAATGGGCCTGGCCTTTTTCCAATAAGATGTTACTTAATGGATACTGAAATTCAAGTTTCATATAACTTTCATGTATCATGAAGTTTTACTCTTGATTTTTTTTTATTTGCTTACAACTTTAAAATATTAAGAACAATTCTTAGCTCAGGGACTGTTTAAAAAGAAAAAAAAGAAAGAACTGCAGGCCTGCTAAATTTGCCCCTCAGACTGTAGCTAATTGCTCTCATAGGCTTTGGGGCCCACTGGGCTCTTCTAGAAAGTCTGTAGCATTTAAACCATCACTTAGTGTTATTTCTTTCCTGCCCCGTGGTCATCCAAAGCACAGAGGCTTGACTGCATCCCCTAGTGGATGCTGCAGTTTGTTGGCAGCAGCAGCTGATACAGTTTATATAATCATGCAGACAAGGAGCTTAGGCAGGAGAATTTAAGCAGTTTGCTCAGGATCACATAAATAGCAGAATCAAATTCAGATGTGGACTAAATCTGAGCTCCTAACCAATATGCTACACACCTGGTACCTTTTCTAGTGTTTTCCCACAGTTTTATCTTCATGATGAGAACACTGAACTGAAGCCCAGCCTCTCAGTACATGTAACACAGCAGGAATGAGCACTCAGATCTTTTATTCTAAGAATGTTTTTGAACATCACATCACAGGCATGTGGAGTTGGCATTGGTGATGCCAGGATGAAAGAAAAGATGCTGTCCTTGCGGAGTTGATGGGATTGTGTGAAGATACCAGCAGGGGCCTCAGGGAGCCAGTCTGCCATCAGCTAAAGGCTTCCAGCTAAATCTTGAAGGCCAGGAGGTGGCTGGGGTGGAACAGCCTTCACTGAGTGCTCTGAGAACCTGTATTAATGCAGTTGTGAGAAGAAAAAGATCATGTTTGGGAACCTTAGGGAAACAAGGGAAGGGATAGTCTTATGTTGGGATCTTCAGATATTGGTAAAAGAACCTAAAGGGATGCTTTAGAAAGGGTGATATTTTGTTTACATTGAATAGAAATAATATAACCTGCCATCAATGTACTGGATCAGAATTTGGTGGGAAGAGGGCATTTCAGGTGAATGGTGATGCAGGGAAGTGTAGAGGATAGTGTCTGCAAAACACCAGAGCTTTTTGACTTAGCCCCTTGGGCAGGCAGATTCCCTTTTGTAGGAAGGGGAGAATTAGTGAATGTAGGGATTTTTCCTTCCAGCCACTGTGCTATAATATGCATTATTTCAAACTCAGTAGTTGAGAGGGCATGCTTATTTTACAGAATGTAAAAACAGACTACCAAGGATTAGGTGATAGCCAAGATCACCCAGCCTTGAGAATGATAGAGCTGTTATTTTAACCCAGGTCAGTTCGACACCAGAGCTCATGTATAATGGGTAAAAAACCAAAGACCAGTGTACATCTGCCCAAAGGGTAGAGTCGTGTTTAGGGGGAGAATCAGTATCAGTTAAATTCAGTTGCTCAGTTGTGTCCAGCTCATTTGCGACCCCAATTCTGCAGCATGCCAGACTTCCCCGTCCATCACCAATTCATGGAGCTTGCCCAGACTGATGTCCATGGAGTCGGTGATGCCATCCAGCCATCTCATCCCCTCATTCCCTTCTCCTCCTGCCTTCAGTCTTTCCCAACATCAGGGTCTTTTCCAATGAGTCAGTTCTTCACATCAGGTTGCCAAAGTATTGGAGTTTCAGCTTCAGCATCAGCCCTTCCAATGAATGTTCAGGGTTGATTTCCTTTAGGATTGACTGGTTAGATATCCTTGCAGTCCAAGGGACTCTCAAGAGTCTTCTCCAACACCACAGTTCAAAAGCATCAATTCTTTGGCCCTCAGCATTCTTTATAGTCCCAACTTGCACATCCATACATGACTACTGGAAAAGCCATAGCTTTGACTAGATGGACCTTTGTTGACAAAGTAATATCTCTGCTTTTTAATATGCTGTCTAGGTTGGTCATAGCTTTTCTTCCAAGGATTAAGTGTCTTAATTTCATGGCTGCAGTCACCATCTTCAGTGATATTGGAGCCTGATTTTGGAGGGGGGGAATAAAGATGACTTACTCTAATTTTAAAGAAATCTTAACTGCTTTCCGTATTGTGCCTTTCTGGGGAGTCTGGAGCAGTGTTTACTAGGGGTGGGGTAGAGGAAAGGCATTGAGAGGCAGATGGAAGAATGTCCATTTTGTAAGCTTCACCACCAGCTGCTGGGGAGAGGAGGGTATATGTTTACATCTCTGTGGGTAGTTCTCAAAATGTGGTCCAGATCCCCACCCCCACTCTTACCCCTTCAAGTAGTCCTTTAGGTCAAAATTATCTTAATAGTAACTTGCTCTTTGTCTTTTTCACTCTGATTCTCTGACAGCTGTGCCATGGAGTTTTCCAGAGGTTACATAGCAGGTGATGTGCTGCAGCAGACTGAACACAAAAAAGATGTGCGTTGTCTGTTATCAACAGACATCAGAGAATTATGAAGATATAAAATAATGCCACTTTTCTCACTAATTAAAAATGTTTTTAATCAGTTGTTTATGTTTGTAACAGTAATGTTTTTATTTAAATCTTAAAGATATTTTAATAGTTTACTTATTTTTATATTTAAGATATTAAAATTTTTTTCTTAGTTTTATTTTCTAATATTCAAAGCCCCACCCACATTATTCAAAGCTCTTTGTGGGAAATCCTAAATAATTTAAGGTTCTAAAGACATCTTGAGACTGAAAGTTTGAGAACTCCTGTTCTTTATCAGCTGCTCTGGTCAGTGGCCACTGTTTCTAGCAATTGTAATTGGAGAATGGGGGACATTTTTCTCCCATCTCTCCTTACCCCATCTGTGTGCTTCTTCCTTATGCTGTAGGAGAGGAGATGTCTGTCTGTCTGTCTGTCTGTCTTACATCTCAGGTGGGCAACCTCTTCGAATTGAATGACAGCAACTTCAGTTTTAAGTTGGACTATAATTTTAAAACATCATGTGTAGTTCTGGGGTCAGCTGAATACCTCAATTCCCTGTCCTTCTGATTTTACTTTACAAAATTAAAAATATTCAGGTATACCCAGAGCTTTCTTTGTAAAATTGGTGCACTGGTTGATACAATTTTTCTTAAACTTGAACCATAAGAACCCAGGTCTGATACAGAATTTCAGTAGAGAGCAAATCATGAAGGTTGGAGGGAGCATGCTTTTCAGCATGACAGTTTCATGCAGTTGTTTTATTCAATAGTAGAGGAAGTAGTTATAGGAACTGGGTGGTTTTTATTTAGGCAGCCAGTGATTGTGTTCTGGCACCATCTGTGTTAAGTGCATGCAGATAACATGAGGCTTAGATTAAAAATGGTTATTTTCCCAGAAGAACATCTAGCTTCATTTATTTGTTAATTCTTCTAAAGCAGCGAGTCAGCCCTTATGCTGTGAAATCAGCTAGAGAGAATAACGCTTACAACCTGAAGCTCATATGGATCCTTTGATCTGAAGGGCTGTTTTTCTCCCCACAGTGCCTTGCATTGGAGGAGGAAGCTCGCCATAATGCCAGTTGATGCACACTGGCTGTGTTTACCAGCCTTTCATGTTAGGCCCTTTGTGCAGACGGTCAGGATGATGCGGTCCTGCCCCTGCTGTTGCTGGTTTCCTGGTGTCCTCCCTTTAGTCCCTGAGCTGCCCTGCACGCCTGCTGCACTGCCTGCTGCACTGCCTGCGGGCAGCCACAGTGCCGCGCCGCCTCCACCTTTTCACACCACACCCCCTTCCGCATCCCAAGCATCCTCTTCTCCTGACCCTAAGCTCTGCCTTTTGCCCCCCACATCTGATGGTAGGCAGGAGGAAAATGTGCAGTCTGGGCTGGTAAGTCTGCGGGCTTTTTTCTGATTACGAAGGTTAAAACTTGATTTTAAAATTTTTTGTGTGTATTTGGTAGCAGCTATTCCAATCATTCTCTGATGTTAGCAGATTTTTGTTTTAATAAGAAATTTTAAATGCATCACCAAAACAATGTTCCACCCAAATGTGAACTGTAACTAGTGTGTTTTAAAACTAGTAGAGTCAAAGGATTTTGTAAAATTAAAAGTTTATATTATAAATGCCAAATATATGGAAAGTAAATATAGGTAACTTCATGCATAGGCAGATTAAATAAATGAGCTTTAAAGGTCACTTATTTATTTAAATCCCCGCCCCCCCACCCTTGTTTATTTAAAACGTCTTATGAAAGTAGGGACTTTTAACTTTTCCTGCAGGTAAATGGCAGTTAATGATTTTCTTCTGAATTTCTGGATTTTATGCTTTACCTGAACAACGTAGAAAAATAAATACTTGGCTAACTTGTTTCAGTTGCTGTTTGCAGGGGCCTGTCTTACTCTATAACCTTAGTATACTCATTCTACTTTTGACTAGAAAGTATAAATGTTTGCCAAATTGTATTGAGTCTACTAAAAACATACAGTACAGCTGTTTTTAAAACCTAATTTAAAGCATAGTTTAAAAATTGTAGGAAAAAGAGAGCTGACCAAGCTTGACTCAGGGGTGAATTGATTCTTTGGGCCGTCGGGACCGTAGTTTCCTGGCTTCTGCAGGAGCTGTCGCCACGTGGGGGGCATGAGCACAGCCCTACACGGCGCGGGTGACTGGTCACCACTCGCGGGAAGGGTGAGCTTCTCCCCTCGTGTGCTGCGATGTGTCAGGCTGCGGCTCTCCTTTGGAAGTGCCTCTGTTTTTCTTCAAAGAAGCGTCCTTTCACAGAACTTTCCAGACATCGCTGCTTTTGAGTTAAATTATTTTCTCTTCCATTGTTTTTCTTCTTTAGGCTTCTCAGGAAAGCAGACTTCACAATCCAGTGAAAATGAATGGCTCCAAGGATGCCCCAGAGCCCTATGACTATGACCTCATCATCATTGGTGGGGGTTCTGGAGGACTGGCAGCTGCCAAGGCAAGGCTCCTTGTGTGTCCTGGGATACGGGGGAGCAGTCAGATCCTTACGGCGGTAACCTGCGTGTTTTCAGAGCCACCCTTGTTTAATTTTTACAGTGGAGTTGCACTAGTCATCTTGGTATATGAAATTCTCAGGTGTTAATAATTGGCTATGCTTTAGACATTATAGCTGTGTTAAAATAGCATTGATTTTTAATGGTCCACTTCCAGTCCATCATGTTAACCATTTCAACTCATTTTAATAATTTATTTTCCAGGAGGCAGCCAAATATGACAAGAAGGTGATGGTTCTGGATTTTGTCACTCCAACCCCTCTTGGAACTAGATGGGGTAAGCTTTTAAAATACCTTAGAAGTGAATCTGTAGGAGCAGATTTTTCCCTGGCTTTGGTTTGAATGACTTCTAAAATCCAATTTTGAAATTAAATAAATTTAAAAAAACAACGAAACACCTCCCTCTTTCACTTGTGCTAGGTCAGAATGGACTTCAGTTAAATGTTGAATACTCAGGTTCCTTGGCACAGAGTCCAGATAATACAGAACCGTGTCCACAGTGTTTTGATGATTTAAAGATAAATATTTGAGTAACTTAGTATATTCAGGGGCTTAATCAGTGAAAGTTTAAACTCTTCCTGGATTTCTATTTCAAATCTGTCTCCTGTGTCCAAGAACTAGAATTAGATACCTTAATGGATAGCCCTTGCTTCTTCTTAGTCTTGGTGAATTCTGTGTTCATTATTTATTTATTCAATGAATATTTATTGAACACTTACTATGAACGAGGACTGTGGAGATATAGCAGTGAATGCGTAGACCTGAAGTTCCTGCTTCTGTGGAGTTTACATTCTCGTGGAAGACAAAAGATGAACAAGAACTTTACCGATTGTGATACATGGTACTGAAAAAGTTACTTGGTGGAATAGAGAGGAACTGGGTAAAGAAGGGAGTTTTAACTTTGAGACCGTTATCAGTGGTGATCTCTGAAGAGGTGGCTTTTAGATGAAGAATAAGAGAGTAACAATGAGCCAGCCCTGCCAAAAGCTGAGGAAGAATCTTTGAGGCAACTTTTCTCTTTCTCACAGAAAGGCACATACAAAGGCCCTGGGGTAGGTTTGGTGGTTGTGGCATGGCTAGTAGAAGCTGGAGCTAAGATTGGAGAGGAAGGCAGGTGTCAGACTGTACAGGTCCTTGTGGACCAAGATGAGGGATTTGGCCCTGATAATCCAAGCATAATGGAAAAGCTTTGGGAAGGGGAGTAATGTGATAGGTAAATTTCATCAGGATGACTTGGCTGTGGAAGTTAGAAGGAGGCAGGAAGTCTGGGCAAGCCAGTGTCACAATTTCTGATTCACTCATTCCTCAGGTGCTTGTTAAGGTGTCGCCTCTTGTCAGGTGTGTTCTCGTGCTGGCTGCAGTCCCGCTGGCCTGTGGAGCTCACGCCCTCTGGTGACACTCGGCCAGCACTCCCCTGGAAGGCTGCTGGTTCCCAAGCGGTGCAGTCCTCTGCCATCTTGCACTCTTGGCATTTTGGCTGCCTCCCCACCTGCTTATATTATGTTCTGATGGAGACAGGTTATCACCGTGTTCTTTAAGTTCAGGGACACTAAATCTTTTTAGGGACGGACAAGGTGTTATGAATCCTTTGGTGAGAATCAGTGAAGGCTGTGGACCACCTCCGTAAAACATTGCTCACGTTCACTAGACTTTTTTATTGCTTTTTGGCTGCATCGTGTGACTGTGGGATCTTAGTTCCCTTAGTTCGACCAGGGATCAAACCCATGCCCTCGGCAGTTAAATGTGGCGTCCTAACCACTGGACTGTCAGGAAATCCCCTATACCAAACTTTGCATGTGGTTTCAGACCTACTGCAGTCCAGCTATGCCCTGCTCAGCAACCCCATTATCACTTCTATTCATGGATTTAGTGGCAAGTAAAAGGTTGTACACAAAGTAAAATCTCAATATCTGGCTTTTTTATCAGCAGTCAATTAATTATGAATTTTTGAAGTACATGGAAGTTGTGGAAGTCTGCTCCTTTTCGTTTTAGGGTTGTTTTGCCGTGTTTAGTCTGTAAGGCTCTCTGATCTTAGAAATGTCATGAGACTTAAGAATACACTCATGTAAACAGTGTTGACTACATTAAACAAATAAATTGTGATGTTTCATAGAATAGCATTGGAGCTTGGAGCAGGCCACCCAAAATATGCACTGTGGCACGTTGATTATTTTGAATTAAAATTACTTAAGAAATGACCAGTGGGACACTCTGGCCCTCCTTTCTGTTGCCTGAAAGCAGGAAATCCATCACATGAAAGGTGCACTCCCTACATCAGGAAGTAGAAAGACACCCTTATCACAAGAGATAGGGAATTCAGGGCTGAGAAGCCTAATGTAAAGAAAACTGTTACTTCTTTACTCATTATCCCAAACCCATACTCTGTTGTCATTCTTAAATAATTGAGCACCCAAAATGTCAGTTTCTTTGTCCTGTCAGTTCCTCACAATATATTATTTCTTTGTCTAAAAAATAGAAAAGCTGTCTCTTTTGGCTACTTCTTAGGTCCCATTTCTATGAAAGCATCATGTGCACAAATTAAAATGTATTTCTCTTGCTCCTGTTGATCTGTCTTATGTCAGATTTGTTTGTCCAACCACAAGAACTGAAGAGGGGTAGACGGGGAAGTTTCCCTCTCCCTTATAATGGTAATAACTGTTGGCCCTTTTCTTTGGAGAATTGTATATCAGACTATAAACTGATTTTGCAATGCTTTTGCAGGTCTTGGAGGGACGTGTGTGAATGTGGGCTGCATACCTAAAAAACTGATGCACCAAGCAGCGTTGTTAGGACAAGCCCTACGAGATTCTCGAAACTACGGGTGGAACGTCGAGGAGACGGGTATGTGGGGGAAGCTTCTCTTCCATTTGTGCTTTTGAGGGGCTTGAGCTGGGATCTTGCAGTGCACCATCCATTCTTACGAGACTAGCATATAACCTGGAAGTCGTTTTCATTGTTTGTTTTTTTAATGGATAAAATCAGTGTAGTTAAGAAAAAGTGTGGTTATCCTGTGTCTTGTTGGCTCTGTAGTAACTATTAATGGTAAGAACAGATATTGTACTTGGAGTATCTTTTTATAACAGAAACCCAGAATTCTTTCAAAGAAATTCTCATAATTCTAGAGTTTCCTATGGGAATGCAAATTACATTTGCTTTCCCTTGAAGCTGTTATTTTTCTCTCATCCAAGAAGTCTTGTTTCATGAGCTGATATTTGGGAGGGTTATTTGTTGAGAAGGGGGTTTTGTTGGATTAAAAATATTTAGAGTACCATGGAAACCACATCCTTTTCTCTTGCCCAACAAAAAAGGCAGTGAGGAGACTCAACCTAATGGAACATGAATTTATCATGTAATCTGCTGGCGGTCTACCTCTCTTCCCGCTTCTACCCCCCACCCTGCAGGTTATTTACTCCCGTGTCTGAGTGCCTGAGTCTGCCCTTGGTCCACCCTTTGCCTTCCTGGGAGCCTACGTCAGTGTACCCAGTTCACAACATAATGTCCTTTCAGTTAATGAGTTAGATTTTTTCAGTAGACTTTTCAGAAATCCTCCTAGTGAAGTTATATAATATTACTATTGCTCACCCACTATTTTCAGTTGGTTCTGTGCTGGGGAAGTATATAAATAAATAATACGAATCTCTAGATACACAGGTTCTGTTTTCATCGACGTGCTGATATCATTGATACACCAGCTAAGTACCCTGGGTGCCCAGAGGTGGGGTCAGTATATGATTTAAGAGGTGACTGGAGATGACTTTTTAGATGTTGTGTCCTTGACAATAAGCAGAGGAGCGGATAGTCAGTTCATTTAGACAGTGAGAAGAAAAGGAACAAGGTTTGCACTTGGAGAATAGTAAATACGTTGGTGTCTCTAGAGCAGGGAGCATGTGGGAACATAAAGCAGACAGTTGCTATGGGCTGAATGCCCTGGGTGGTTTGGGATGAGGATAGGAGGAGGAATGTGGACCAGCTTAGCGAGCTGCAGTTGTGCTGAGGGCAAGTTGGACCAGATATTTCATGGTTCTTGGGACAGCAGGAAGAAGAGGGGAGGGGAGGTAAAGACCGTAGCTATAGCAGAGAGGAAGCTCCTGTCTTCCCTCAATACCCACCTCATGGCTTCACTGGGGTCCTGCAGGTCAGGAGTCATGTTAAAGTCAGATCATTTTCCTTATTCTCCATTCCATCTTATTGCAGTACATATATGAGCCTGCTGTCCCTGGAGGGGGATCCTGTTGTTCCATTTGGCAGACAAGCAGACCGGAGCTCTGGGGGGTGAAGTGGTGCCCCCATATCATAGTTAAGAAATTGGCAGCACTAGGGCTTCCCTGGTGCTCAGCTGGTGAAAAATCTGCCTGCAATGCAGGAAACCCTGGTTTGATTGCTAGGTCAGGAAGATCCTCTGGAGAAGGGATAAGCTACCCACTCCAGTATTCTTGGGCTTTCCTGGTGACACAGATGGTAAAGAATATGCCTGCAATGCAGGAGACCTAGGTTTGATCCCTGGGTTGGGAAGATCCCCTGGAGGAGAGCATGGCAACCCACTCTGGTATTCTTGCCTGGAGAATCCCGATGGACAGAGGAGCCTGGCGGGCTGCAGTCCATGGAGTCACAAAGAGTCGGACACGACTGAGCGACTCAGCACAGCACAGAGTTTAGATTGAAGTCTCTCTGACTTCAAAACACTTGGGATTTACGCAAGTGGTCTTCCTTCAGCCCTCATGTCTTCAGTGGCAACTTCTCTAGGGGACCAGGGTTTTGGGAGCTGTTGTAGAAGCTAGTACTCTCAGAGCTTTTGACCTTGGTCTGTGTGTACCTCTCCTCACCATTCTCTCCCCAAAAGGGGCAAGTTCTGTGTGCAGTCTGCAGGCCACACTTGAATTTCCCTTCTGGGTCTTCGGGAGAAAAACCCAAGAACCACTCATTTTATTTGCTAACCACTTTCATAAGATCTGAACCACCCCTGTCCTTTCACACATACTCTTTACCAGTATTCTCAGGGAGACTTCATTCCCTGGGGCCCCCAGGGATAAGATCCTTCCTTCACCTCATTGAAGTATAGGTTGTTAGAGTAGACGAACGCGGGTGGTAATTCTGACTTTGCTGTTTACTGCCTGTGTGGTGAGGATTAAATACAATTCAGTTCAGTCGCTCAGTTGTGTCTGACTCTTTGTGACCCCATGGACTGCAGCACACCAGGCCTCCCTGTCCATCACCAACTCACGGAGTTTACTCAAACTCGTGTCCATTGAGTCGGTGATGCCATCCAACTGTCTCACCCTCTGTCGCCCCCTTCTCCCCCCACCTTCAATCTTTCCCAGCATCAGGGTCTTTTCCAATGGGTCGGTTCTTAGCATCAGGGGCCAAAGTATTGGAGTTTCAGCTTCAGCATCAGTCCTTCCAATGCATATTCAGGACTGATTTCCTTTAGGATAGGCTGGTTTGACCTCCTTGCAGTCCAAGGGACTCTCAAGAGTCTTCTCCAGCACCACAGTTCAAAAGCATCAATTCTTCCACGCTCAGCTTTCTTTATAGTTCAACTCTTACATCCATACATGACTACTGGAAAAACCATAGCTTTGACTAGATGGACCTTTGTTGGCAAAGTAATGTCTCTGCTTTTTAATATGCTGTCTAGTTTGGTCATAGCTTTTCTTCCAAGGATCAAGCGTCTTTTAATTTCATGGCTGCAGTCATCATCTGCAGTGATTTTGGAGACCCCCAAAATAAAGTCTGTCACTGTTTCTGTTGTTTCCCCATCTATTTGCCATGAAGTGATGGGACCAGATGCCGTGATCTTAGTTTTCTGAATGTTGAGTATTAAGCCAACTGTTTAACTCTCCTGTTTCACTTTCATCAAGAGGCTCTTTAGTTCTTCTTCACTTTCTGCCATAAGGGTTGTGTCATCTGCATATCTGAGGTTATTGATATTTCTCCCAGCAATCTTGATTCCAGCTTGTGCTTCTTCCAGCCCAGCGTTTCTCATGATGTACTCTGCATAGAAGTTAAATAAGCAGGGTGACAATATACAGCCTTGATGTACTCCTTTCCCTATTTGGAACCAGTCTGTTGTTCCATATCAGTTCTAACTGTTCCTTCCTGACCTGCATACAGATTTCTCAAGAGGCAATCAGGTGGTCTGGTATTCCCATCTCTTTAAGAATTTTCCAGAGTTTGTTGTGGTCCACAAAGTCAAAGGCTTTTTAGATACAATTGTGTGATTAAAATACCTGCCAGCCTTAGTTTCACTGCCAGCCTTAGTTTCAGCCCCTTCCTCCTGACTTGCTTCTTCTAATTTTTCCCTTCAGAGTGTCAGCCAGTTGGTGTAGACTCTGCCCAGCACTTTTCTTGGTTTTTTGTTTAATGGGTTGTAGAGAAACATGTATGGATATTTAGGAATTTGTATGTTTGAACCAATTTATTTCCCTCAAAGAGAAGGACATGTAACAAGAATACTAATCTGAAAAAGTCTAGAGTTTGTTGGAAAATGTATGGTCGTTCCAAGCAAAATTTGATTTATGCCGGTAATATAATTTCCATATAGTGTCCATATAGTGAATGTCAGTGGCCCTTAAATTTCAATAATAGTTCTGGGGAGCTACAGCTCATCATCATTAAAATGTTGTTAATTCATTTAAGGTCTCATACTTAAATTGGTATGTAGTTCATGTTAGCTTTAAGCTGTCAACTCAGAAATGAAGTAGGTGGACAGAATAGCTTAGTTTGGTAAGAAAGGTAGGAAAGTACATGTAACAGGTCTTTAGAATCTTTAAGAGATAAGTATAGGCCTCTGCAGAATAAATTTTAATAACAGGGTCAGCAAAGTATAATTCTAGTATGTTCAGTAATCAAGTGGGTGATGAAATATAACTTGGTGAATTGACAAATCTTCTTTCCAGGAAAAGAATATGTTTATAGTGGTCATATAACAATAATAAGAACTGGTTTTACTTATTTACCCTGACTTTATTTCTAAATTATGTAAGAAACTAATAAATGCAGAGATGAGGTGATAAAGCAGCCACTACCCGTGTACTGCAGCTCTGCACAGTAAAACCAGCAGGAGCTCTCTGAATTTTAAAACGTAAACCAACTCAAAAGTTATCTTACTTGTGTATCTCTACAGAAGTTATTTATTCAACTAGTTTAACTGTTTTAGCTCTTTCGTGTTCCTTCCCCTTTTCCAGATTTTAAGATAGAAATACATATCTTCGTATTTTTATACCTTCCACCTCTTGTACATCTATGTCAGGGACAGTGATCCCAAAGTCTCTGCCGGGAGATGTGCCCTCTGTTTAAATCCCTTCCCTTTTCCTAAGTGGAAGCGTGGTGGCTTCTTTATTGTTGTCTCATTACTCCTTGTGCCTTCTGAAGCAAGCTTTGGCCTCTCTGTGGGGACCAGAGCTGGGTGCTGTGGGAGTGGCTGGCCCGGCCTGCTGGGATCCACCACCCAGGGAGCAGTCATCGCCTCCCTCCTTTTTGTGCTTAAGTGTTGGTGGTGAAGGATACAGTGGACTTAGACAAACATTTTATCATTAGATCTTTGAGGAAGAAAGAACTTGGAGGTATATTTTTCCAATGAGAAGCCCCTAGAGGCTGCTGCTCCATGTTCCCAGGAGATGAGGCAGGCATGAATGCTTATTTTGCATTTTTCAAATAGAAACACATCTAATCTCACGGCCTTGACCAAAGAACAGTGCTTCTGTCTTCTTGGAAAACTGTCTTCTCTGACACTGCAAATAGCTCTGAGCGTGGTGAGGGAGGAAAGGCCCTTTGGACCCGGAACCAAGCAGCACAGCTGAATCTGCCTGGTGATGGGGTGGGAGACGGGGGGAGGGGGGTGACATGTCCAGGACTCAGCCTGCAATCTGCTCTTCTCCTGAAAGCTCCAAGATGAGACTGTGATAAGAAAAAAATTTACGTGAGCTCAGTTATGTAAACTGGAGGGAGTGGTCCTTTCTGGAAGATTTTACTGGCTTCGTATTTTCTTCAGATATACGTTTGAATTCTCTTGTGCTCAAGAATTAAAATGTACCTTTTAAAAAATTGAGCATTTGTGAAGTTTTAGGATCCCATTGTCCTTAGAGAGAAAGCACAATTACTGGTTTACAGTTGGGGGCTTGCAGAGTTCCTGGATGCATGTATTCTCCTACCGTCCTCAGCTGACGGTTCACAAACAGTGTTTCTGTGCTGCTGTGAGTGCCCGTGTAGCTCCGGGCAGGTCATTCATCCATCCTTCATTTCCCTGTGTATATACTGGAAGGAATTTGTGCCCCTTCAGGGTATTTGAGGTATAAGTGGACAGGTGCAGTGAAGATAAAAGGATGCTAGTAGCTCTGTTAGTCTGAATATTGATGTCGAACCTAGGGGTGTATGGTAGTGGGGGTGTGGTTCAGGAGCAGGAGAGAATTGGCTTAAGACCCAGTTGCCAGGGTGGGCATAAGGGTGCACCCATGTGAATAACAGTCCTTGCCTAGGGAGCCGGAATGAGCATTGCAGAGGCTCAGCATTAGGTTACAGCTGGTGGACCAGGCCAGTGGAATCAGGAATCCTGGGGGAGGTGCTGGGCTGTGCCAGTGGGTGGGCTGTGTAGGAGCGGGAAGTGTCCAGGTGTTATAGGAATGCAGGGGATTTGGGGCATTACTGGAAAACAGGGCAGCCCTAGAGAACTGGGGTTCCGGGTATATAACCACCCACAGTCCAACAGGGATCCAGTTACCACCAGCAGCATGTAAAGTAGGAATTTGGATTTTGTGAGACTGAAACTCAGTTCTCAGAATGAAATGCAAGACCAGGACCATAGGAGCAGCTAGAGTATCTTGATGCTGAATCCCAAAGTAGTGGGCTGCAGCTTTTTTTATTTCTTCTGCCTGAGCATAACCACACTAGAGATTGGTACCTGCCTACTGTACCTGAGGATGAAGAGACTTTGGTAGAGAAAAGGGGTTTGAGGAGTTTGGAAATCACATGGGGCCTAACACTTACAAAGCTTGTCACTAACAGTAGAATTAGTGTTGAATTAGGTCTAATCATTGAATTTCTGTCATTGAAGTAATTTTTTTTGTACAGTTACTTAGTCCCAACTGTGTCTTCTTTTCGAATATGTTATCTCTTATAGGATTGGCAGAGCAGAATCCACTTAGTACTTCTACCACTGTAAAATTTCAGAGTGCATCCTGCCTTTGACCTTGCTCCTCCCTGGGGGTGTTATTGGCACGCTGTGCGGACAGCTCCTAGTTGTAAGGAACCGAGGTGGAGGATCGTTAGCGTCACTGGACATCCCCGCACCAGTCAGTTCAGTCTCTCAGTCATGTCCGACTCTTTGAGACCCCATGGATTGCACCACGTCAGGCTTCTCTGTCCATCACCAACTCCCGGAGCTTGCTCAGACTCATGGCCATCGAGTTGGTGATGCCATCCAACCGTCTCATCCTCTGTCATCCCCTTCTCCTTCTGCCTTCAATCATTTCTACCATCAGGGTCTTTTCCAGGGAGTTAGTTCTTTGCATCAGGTGGCCAAAGTATTGGAGTTCAGCTTTAGCATCAGTCCTTCCAATGAATATTCAGGACTGACTTCCTTTAGGATTGACCGGTTGGATCTCCTTGCAGTCCAAGGGACTGTCAAGAGTGTTCTCAAACACCACAGTTCAAAAGCATCAATTCCTTGGTGCTCAGCTTTCTTTATAGACCAGCTCTCACATCCATACATGATTACTGGAAAAACCATAGCTTTGACTAGATGGACCTTTGTTGGCAAAGTAATGTCTGCTTTTTAATATGCTCTCTAGGTTGACCATGGCTTTTCTTCCAAGGATCAAGTGTCTTTTAATTTCATGGCTGCAGTACCATCTGCAGTGATTTTGGAGCACCCAAAAATAAAGTCTGCCACTTTTCCACTGTTTCCCCATATATTTGCCATGAAGTCATGGGACCAGATGCCATGATCTTAGTTTTCTGAATGTTGAGTTTTAAGCCAACTGTTTCACTCTCATGTTTCACTTTCATCAAGAGGCTCTTTAGTTCTTCTTCGCTTTCTGCCATAAGGGTTGTGTCATCTGCATATCTGAGGTTATTGTTATTTCTCCTGGCAGTCTTGATTCCTACTTGCATCAGAGTGACAACCAAAACCACTACCAGTAAAACCACCACTGATAAAACCACATCTGGGATTTGCTTAAAATATTCTAGTTAAAAAGAAGACGTGTTATGTAATGAGATTGATTAAATGTTGGTAGTTGTTAAGTTGTTTGGTAGTTTGCTAGAGGGAAAAAATACTTGAAAAGGTTGTTTATGTGCTTGAAGTGAAGGACTTGCTATTTCAGACCAGTTCCTGGGAACTGACGTTTGTCAGGCAGTTGAGAAGCTGAGCATGGTGTCTGTCTTTCTCTGCAGTTAAACATGACTGGGAGAGAATGACAGAGGCAGTCCAGAACCACATTGGCTCTCTCAACTGGGGCTACCGTGTGGCTCTGCGGGAGAAAAAGGTCACCTACGAGAACGCGTACGGGGAGTTTGTGGGGCCTCACAGGATTAAGGTAAGCGTGTGACTGCCTCAGAAGGTTTTTTGGTTTCGTGTCTTTAAGCTTTTGTTGGGGGAGGAAAAGTGAAGGTGACTATCCTAATAAAAACACTAGTGACCCAGACCATCCATTGGGTGACTTTGAGGTCACTTCTTAGGGGCTTTCTCTTGTGGTGCAGTGAAGGATAAGAGGACGTGGTTTGGGGCCAGATTAGCAGGATTTGAGTCTTGGCTTTGTGTCTGCTTCCTAGCATTGTGTCCTTGAGCAACCTCTCACTGCATTAGCAAATTTTTATGAAGATCAAATTGGTCACTGTAGTAAACAGCTTTTTTAATTACAATGTTGACAATTCTAAAGGATACTAACTTACTAAAAATTGACATACTGATTCCTTTGTAGGCAACAAATAACAAAGGCAAAGAGAAGATTTACTCAGCAGAGAGATTTCTCATTGCCACTGGTGAAAGGCCGCGTTATTTGGGTATCCCCGGTGACAAAGAATACTGTATCAGCAGGTAAGGACAAATTGGGGGAGAAAAGAGGATTTCTGCTTTTTCTTCAAATCTATTTAATCCTTTTCCTAGAACTTAAGTTTTTCACCATATTTTTGCCCAAAGGAACAGGGAATTAGGAAAAAGAGAAAGGAAAAAAATTTTAAACCAGAGAACATTAAAAAAATTCAGGATTATAAACATTGGTCATCTTATCACCCAGAGTTAATATCTCTCTACTCATATGTAGATTATGCTTACAATATTTATATTTGAAATTTATATGTATATGTCTTATAAATGTATAGTATGTAAAACCCAGATGGATATTTACAGATATTTTGGAAAATAATTGATACATATATCTGTACCTTTTTTTGTTTTTTGCAAAATTAGGATTATATATTACCCTTTATGTAGATACTATACGACTTGGAGGATAACAGGCCATTTAGGTTTCTCAACCCTCGTTTTTCCTTACTTTTTGCTATTTGAATGGGTGCAGTGTCAGTGCAGAGGGACCTTCTGAAATCAGTGAGTCAGGCAAGGTTTTGCTGTGTGGCTTATTTTTGCCCATCAAGTGGAAATACTGGTGACATTTTATTGTTCAGGAGTTTTGAATTATGAAGTTATTAAGATAAAGATTGTTGATAAGTATGTCTCCTTGGGTGCTCTTTGCCCAGGAGTTTCTTATTTTCTGATTATGTTATAGCTACTTATTTTTAGGCTTTTTTCCTTTGTAATATGAGTTTATCCTGTGAACCTTTGCCCAGGGGCAGCTCAGTTGCCATCTTTTGTTTTCACTGTCTTAGATGAACCCCCCCCTTGTCACATTTTAAAAAACTCATCTACCAGCAATACTTTTAGGATCTCCTATGTCTGGTGTCCTCACTCTACTAGAAGATTTTGTCAGGCTTTACTTTGAATGGTTTTTATATTATAGAACCCACATGTTGACGTCTTTTCTCCACCTCTCTCCCCACCCTTGGTGCTTGGTGTGGTGGTTGAGGAAAAGTAACACAGGTTTTCCACCTGAGAGAGAGCTGGAGTGGTGGGACGAGGGTGGGGGTTTGGGTTTGCACAGGTGCGATTTTAAACACGTAAGTGGAGAATTACTCCAAATAGTATTAAATAAACTTGTTTGACTGGGAGCTGGACTAGTGTCAGAGTTGCTGTGGTTTGCTGTGCTCACCCATGGAAGCTGGAGCTGCTGCCACAGCAGTTGAGTGGTGAGAAAGGAGAGTGTCTAAGACCTTGTAAAAATTTCTCAAATGTTATGTGTGTAGCTAATTGGGATGGTTTTAATCCTAAAAGTGTCTTGTTCCTAAGAAAGTAAAAATACATACTTTAATTTGAGTCATTATACGCATATGGACATTTTTCTGTTCTTTTCTTCCTTTTAAAAAATTTTTTTTCTTTTTTTTTTCAGTGATGATCTTTTCTCTCTACCTTATTGCCCGGGTAAGACCCTGGTGGTCGGAGCATCCTATGTTGCTTTGGAATGTGCTGGATTTCTTGCTGGTATTGGTTTAGACGTCACTGTTATGGTACGGTCCATTCTCCTAAGAGGATTTGACCAGGACATGGCCAACAAAATTGGTGAACATATGCAAGAACATGGTATCAAGTTCATAAGAGAGTTTGTACCAATAAAAGTAAGTGGGGTTGCCTGGAGGTTTGTTGATTCTATACTCACATTTAAAGGTGAGAGAGAGTTGGGGTGGGTGAGGGAAGAAGCCTCCTTGGAGCATGATGAACCACTGGGGATACTGTCATTCCCCAACTGTGTGATTTAGGTATGTAAACTATTTCTACCTGAATAGGTCCAACCACCTAAATAGCTTTGTTCTTATTTGCAGATTAATGATTTCCTTCCCCTTTCAACTTTACCACCTTTTATTCTCTTCTGTTGAAATGCTTTGCTTTATGCGTTCCATTATTTTATTATCTTTGACCTGTTATATTAATACTTACTTTTTCCTACATACCAGTGATTTAAATAAGAGTTTGAGACTAGACTGATTTTTTTTTTTCTTTCTTTCAAAGACGTTTCTCCTTAGTATACAGTGTAGTCCACAGATGCCACTGTGTTATTCTGGCTTCCCTGGAAATGATTATCTAATTTTGTTATGTCGGCTGGCCTTGTTTTGCTCATTTAATCTTCTTTTCATTTCTTTTGAAAATGCTGAATAATATACCAAATTATATTTGGTACTTGTTAACCACAACTGTTCTGATACACAAGAGTGACAGAATCAATCACTTGACATATCTCTAACAGATTCCTTTAGGGCAAGTAAGGATGAAACTATATTGTTTAAATTAAGGAATTTTAGTTGTAATATTGTTTAAATTAAGGAATTTTAGCTATTGTTTTTAAAATTGCTTAATGGGCTAGTAACTTGGGTTTTGTTTTTGTGGGAATATGAATCTCTTGAATGCTGGTAAATAACAGTATATAAGTGTGGAGATTAGAAAGACACGAGTTCAAATCCTGTTCTGCCAGTCTCTTGCCATGTGACTCTGGGAGAATGACTGCTCCAAGCCTCACTTTCTTTTGTAAAATGATCATGATGACATCCATCTCACAGTTCTCATGAGGATTCTACTAGCATTAGGACTGTGATTAGAAGAAACAGCAGTGTATATATGCTGTTCTGATAAAAAGTAGCATCTTCCTTTCTAGTCTCTGAACATTTTGGATGTTGTGGGCCCTTTGAGAACATGGCGGACTATCCCTAGTGAAATAAGCCTGTGTCTGTATACATACCATTCTGCTTGGTTTACCAGGGTGATTTAAAGATTGTGGGCTTTCCTGGTGGCTCAGACAGTAAAGAGTCTCCCTGCAATGCAAGAGACCCAGGTTCAATCCCTGGGTCAGGAAGATCCCCTGGAGAAGAGAATGGCTTCCCACTCCAGTATTCTTGCCTGGAGAATTCCATGGACAGGGAAGCCTAGTAGGCTACAGTCCATGGGGTCGCAGAGAGTTGGGCATGACTAAGCAACTAACTTTTTAATTTTTTCCCCAGAGATTGTAGTGTGCTTTCTCTGACTTTTTTGTTTGCTGATTTGCTCTCTGAATTTTATTCTATTTGAAAATTATTTGAAGGAAAGCCCCTCTAACAAACAGTAAGCAATGAGAAAGAAGGGAATAAATAAAAGAATCTCATGTCGTCCTAAAGATGTTGATGTGAGGGAGATGGGACATAAAAGACCTTACAAGCCAGATTTTGTATTTTAACTTTGGGTTAACCAGATAGAAGGAGAGGATAATTATCCACCTTGATGTTGATATGTGTCTTTATTGTAGAGTAAAACCTTGTATCTCTTTCATAGGTTGAACAAATTGAAGCAGGGACACCAGGCCGACTGAGAGTGGTAGCTAAGTCCACTAATAGTGACCAAACCATCGAAGGAGAGTATAATACGGTAAGAAATGGTCCTCAGTCATACTTCATTAGAAAGCACATCATATGCTTATGCTATATTTGCTGGGTTGCTGTTTCTAAACTGTCGGTTCTGTTCCTATTCTAAGACACCTTTATTACTTACGATATTATAAATTGTTTTGGTACAGGATGGATTTAAATTTTTTCTACTATAACTTAAATATTATTTATCAAATGGTTATTGAAAAGTATTAGCATGTTAAAATGAGCTAGAATTTCTCTGTCTCTTGTTCTTGTATTTCCCCAGCCCACCACTTAAAAAAAAACAACTTCAGTGGTAGGCTATGCTTTGTCTCTATACTTGGTTAAATTTACTAAGGAATTGTTAATTCCCTTTTTCTTAAGGAATGTGTATGGCTTTTTACTATATCATGTTTAGAAGATTTAATTTAAATGATTTTGATTTGTTTAAACTCTTGGCATTATTTTCTTAATAGAATATTTCTTTCCAGGTCTGGAAAATGAATCAGATTGGCTTAATGGAAAAAAATCTAATGAAATAACTCATGCAGAACTCATGCAGAACAGTCACTATATATTAATGATTTTTCAGGTATTGCTGGCAATAGGAAGAGATGCTTGCACGAGAAAAATTGGCTTAGAAAACGTGGGGGTAAAGATAAATGAAAAGTAAGAAAAAAGCTTTCTTATGTTTATTAAATACTATTTCAGTGATTTATAAGGCTCCTTAGTAGTGGAGTTTTAGGTGTTTTGTTTGCTTGGGTTCTCTTTTGTTTGGCCATGCAGCACTTGGGATCTTAATTCCCTGACCAAGGACGGAACCCTGGCTCCCTGAAGTGGAAGACCACCAGAGGAGTCCTTGGAGTTTTAGATTGTTAAAGTTAGTTTTTACCACAGTTGGAGCATTCACTTTATAAGCCTAGAGGACTCTTCATTCAGTGCTAATCACAGTCTTTCCTGTTTGTCTTTTTTTTTTCCCCTTTTTCGAAATCTAAATGAGATTTCATTTTGTTTCTTTAGTATGTATATGTACAGCAAGAGATCCAACTCCTCACTGAATTGCAGTTATGTGCTTTAAAAGCTTCATTGAGTGTACAGATTTAAACCAGGTTTAAAGCTACCAAGTCTTAGAATCACTAGAGTGGTCACTACGTTTCTAGTGACAGCTGCAAATATAAAAACTTCGCTGTTTTATATATATTAGCTAAAATCCTTTGCACTGTACCACTGCTCCGGATAATTGAGACTGTTTTCTGCTTCTAGAAGGGGCATGGGATATTTTCCCAGTATCACCTTTCCTACATCCGTTTGAAAACAAGTGCTGTGAAAGGCTAGGTGCCTTGGAAGTTGACAATAGAGAGTCCCCACTACCGCCCCCCACCTCCCCTCCCTCTTTCAGGAGGAACATTTGTTCAGAAGAGATTTCTTAATCTTAATATGAGGGTTTTTGTTTTATTATCTTCCCCCTTGGTTTGGAGAGACGAGGGAGTTAAGGAGGTCTGGTAAGATTTAGCGGGCCAAGAGTTCCACCACCTTGGAAACCTACTTGCCTTTGTGCACTTGGGGCCAAGGTTTAGATTTTATATAATGTTAATAGCTCACATTTATTCTCTGCTTACCAGGGTCCATGGACTGCTGTGCTAAGTGTTTTGTACACACTTCTCATTCAGTCCTTACAACCCCTTAAGGTAGATGATGGTATTTTTTACTTCTATTATTCCCATTACCGTCATCCCCATTGATAGGTGGAAAAATGAGGCTTAGAGATGTTAAATAGCCCTCCCAAGATCACAGAGGTAATAAGTAACAGACCTAGTTACTGCAGTTCAGAATCCTCCTTTGTTCTTAACCACTGTGTTCTACTTTTCCCATTCCACGATTTCTTAACAATTTTCTTATTCCTTTGATTTTCAAAATAGTTAGAACGTCTAAGCTTTTGGCTCCTCTGAGCTTTGTTGTTGTTGTTTTGGTAATACATTAGAACATTACCCTCAGCTAGACTCCCGATTTTGGGTTTCTTTGGGAGAAAGGGGATTTTGTTGGACTTAATTAACAGTGGTAATGGATGGTGCTTTTAACCGAATGAATTTGCAGGACTGGAAAAATACCTGTCACAGAGGAAGAGCAGACCAACGTGCCATACATCTATGCCATCGGTGACATTTTGGAGGGGAAGCTGGAGCTCACCCCCGTGGCCATCCAGGCAGGACGACTGCTGGCCCAGAGGCTGTACGGTGGTTCCACTGTCAAGGTGAGTGGGGGCTGTCACCACTGAGACGCTGCTCTTGGTGGTCCTCCTGCTGCTCTGGGTAAGCTGGCTGTGAAGTTTTCCAGGTCGTGAATAATTTAGTTATTTTGATGATGGCATCCCACATGTCTAACTGTTCCAGGCAAGACATTGTTATGACCTCTTTTGTGATTTATTATGGACATTGTCACTCTCAGAATCAAATGAGGAGTAAAATGAGTTTGAGTAAATCAAGTTTCAGCCCTGTTATATTCTGTAAATTCCTAATAGTTGCATCTTACATCCATTCATTATTACCAATTTGTGTATAAAGTTCTAAATCTGTTTATGGCACCTGACTAGGCTATAAAAGGATTTGAGGATGTAGGTAAATAATGTCAGTCTTCAGAGCTGTTTGAAGTGATATTCAGGCTTTATTCCCCCATCCTTTCTAAAAATAGATCTCCTGCTCTTGGAATGTTGAGAGTGTGTTATATTAATGTTCCAAAATGATTTTAAAAGTCAGTGTAGGAAATTAAAACTCTGATTTGTATCTTATGAGACTAGATGACAAGAAAAGAATAAATATGCTCAATTAATTTTTTAAGACATTTTTTAAAGAACAGTTTTAGCTTCACAACAAAATTTAGAGGAAGTTTGGTGGCTTGGCGGTAAAGAATCCTCCTGCAATACAGGAGATGTGGGCTCAGTCCCTGGGTCGAGAAGGTCTCCTGGAGAAGGAAATGGCAACCCACTCCAATATTCTTGCCTGGAGAAACCCATGGACCGAGGAGCCTGGTGGGCTGCAGTATATGGGGTGGGAAGAGTTGGACACAACTGAGTAACTCAACCACCACCACCATAGAGATTTTCCACATATCCCCTGCCCCTAATTATTATCAATGTTCCCTTCCTAATTATTTTTTTAAAAGGATTCTGGAAATTATTTTTTTTAAAGGATGGTAAAGAATTTAGTCACTCCCCATTTTCCTTGTGCATAAATCATCATGGGTTGATTTAGTTAGGTTATAGCAATTGTGCCTCAGAGAATACTGCTAATAAAATTTGTGACAAGCATTTTAAATATATGTTGGGTTTGGATTGTAGTATAATAAATCTTAATATTTTGAGATTAACAGGATTGAGGTTGAAAAGAGTTTTTAAAAAAACACAAGGTTGTTTGATCATGCAGGGAATAGTAATTGGTTCATATTACTATTTGGAATAAACTTAACTGCCTCTTTAAATGAATTATGTCTTTTATACTTTTTGGAGTTTTTGAGTTTATGGTAAATCAGGAAAAGTAATTCAGAAATATAATGAGGTGCATTTAATTTTTTTTGACCTTTTTATCTTTGTGATTTCCTAAAGTGAAAAGAAAAAAATTTTTATACCAATAATAGAGGGCAAATATGCAAAAAATTGCTAGTAAATAAGTATGAAATTACTGTAGCACCACTTTTCTTAAAAATCCAGTGAATCCACCTAATTTGGACATACCCTTCTTTGTGTGAGCAGAGTACTATATTCTAGCATCTCCCAGGTAGAGCAAATTCTGTCTTAAAGTGTCTTCAGCTTTTATCAGCATCAGAATTAATGTAAATTGAAATTAAAGGACTCTTTTCTGTTGTTCCTTTTTCCCACCCTGTTTTTTAGTCTTAACTAATAGGACAGGTACTTTACTGAACGGGAAAATAAACAAGTGCTGCTAAATCCCTGAGTTTGAAATCTTATCAGTCTGTTTGTCAAGTATAGTAAACAAAACTGGATTACTAATAGATGTAGGTTAATTGTATTTGGGGGAATTACACATTGTTTTGTTTAAGAACTGTGTAATCCTTTTAATTTTGCTCTGTATGCATTAGTAGATCATTCCCATATATCTAAGAACATTAGCGGATCCACATTCACTTGCCTTCCTTCTGAAGGAGCAGCTAGCTATCTGTTGAAAACTTCAACTTAACATAAACACCTGCCTAAATTAAATCTGTTGTGGGATTTTAGGAGAACCCAAATTGAATAATGGGTGTTTGTGTCTTCCTCCAAAATTGGTAACATATATTCATTGCCTTAGAAGAGAGTTTGGAAAGAAGAGGACAGAGAGCAGCTGTGTCTGTCCGTGCCTGGCCTGTGCTCAGCGCTGTGTGTGCATGCACCTCACTCCACTACAGAGCAGCTGTAGAGATGGATGACATGTTACAGGGGGTTAGGTGACTGTCCAAGGTCACAGTGCTTGGAGGCAGCCAAGGCAAAAAGCCAGTCCATATCTGATTTGTAGGCACTGCTGTGTTAACCGTGAATATGCATCTCGTGAAGACGGCTCAAATGGTAAAGAATCTGCCTGCAATGTGGGAAACCAGGGTTTGATCCCTGGGTTGGGAAGATCCCCTGGAGAAGGGAAAGGCAACCTACTATTGTATTCTTGCCTGGAGAAGTCTATGGACAGAGGATCCTGGCAGGCTACAGTCCATGGGGTCGTAAAGAGTTGGACACAACTAAGCAACTGACACAAAGACATAAGGAAGATTTGGGAAGTATCAATTATAAAAGGTGATGAGGGTAGAAAAGACATCTCAAGACTTTAAAGACTACCACCAGTGCAGAGGTGCTTGTACTAAATGAAGTGGAAAATATATTGGAAAAGTTTAAATTAATCTTTTTAATGGTAGATTAAAGTCATTTTCAAAGCTGCTAAACATATTTGCCCTTAAATATTCTGTTATTTTTGGGAACATTGAGGAAGGAGAAAAATATTTTTATCATTTCAAAAACAGAGAACAGATCTTAAAGCTGAGTCAACCTGCAGGTGATGGACATTCTAGTAAGGTCTTTAAAAAGCCAGATGATAAGACACATGTACCAGCTTTAAAAGATTGTAATGGGCACTCATTTGAAAAGACCCTGATTCTGGGAAAGATTGAAGGCAGGAGAAGGGGACAACAGAGGATGAGATGGTTGGGTGGCATCACTGACTCGATGGACATGAGTTTGAGTAAACTCGGTGAGTTGGTTATGGACAGGGAGGCCTGGCGTGCTGCGGTAAATGGGGTCGCAGAGAGTCGGACATGACTGAGCAACTGAACTGAACTGAATGGGCACTCCAGCTGTTTCCTCCAGGCACCAGTAGATTTCTTGGATCTTTTTTTTAGAATTGCTCTCAAAACACTTGAAATAATTTTATTATTACTTAAAATAGTGCTTTGTAAGATAGCTCAATTTTACAGTAAATATAAAAATATTTTATGTCAGAACTACAGAGAAACCACAGTATACATCTCTGCAACTTGAGGATGGACTGTGTTCTAAAAGCTTATTAAATTGATTATCCAAATAGAAGTATTGAGAAAAAGGGCTACGTTTCTCAGGCTAGGCCACAATAGTCAGTTAAGCCGATTGGAAACAGTTTTGGGACCAAGGAGAAAAAATATCTTTAATTTGGATCCAGGTTTCCATCTGATACATTATTTTCTGCCATCATTTAATGCACATCTGCTTAAGGTGAATTCATTGTGGGGTTTTTGGTTGTTGTTTTAGTTTATTATACCTTCACTTTATACTTTTTGGAAGATATTTTTGCTGAATAGAGAATTCTAGATTTACAGTGTTTATTCAAATATTTTAATAATTGGCCCATTGTCTTTTGGTTGCATAGGAGAATATGTTATCATTTTTATCTTTGATCCTCTTAAGATTTTCCCTTCCACTGCTTTTTAGCAATTTGATTATTGCATACTTTTCCATGCTTTTCTTTATAATTATTCTGCTTATGGTGTGTCAAGATTTGGGTATTTATCTGTTCATAGCTTTCATCAAATTTGGGAATTTTTTTAGCTATTCAGTTAAGTTTTTGCTTTCCTCCTCTTTGGTCCCCCCAAGCCTCGGGTTAGTGCCTGGTGGTTCACTTGATATTACCCCGTGGGTCTCATGCTCTCTTCATGCTTTTCCCCCTGTTTCTGTGCTTTATTTTCTCAGAGAGCCTATTGCAGTGTCTTCAAGTCCACTGATTTTTTCTTTTGTAGTCTTGGGATGTAAATCCCATTCTGTGTAATTTGCACTTCTAGTAGTTTCATCTCTGCAAGTTACATTTTCCTTTTCTGTCCTCAGCAGACTGCATTTTTATCTACCTTCTTGAGCCTACAGAACACGTTTTTAATGGCTCTTTCAATGTCCTCTGCTAATCCCATCATCTCTTTCACAGTGTCTGTTTCTATGATTAGTTTTATTCTTGATATTTGTTTGGATGGATGAAGACTTTGTGCCCTTCACACTATTGTTTGCTGGGTTTTGTTGAATTCCTTTATATAGTGTTGGAGTTTGTTTTGCTGGCCGTTAAGTTACACAGGAGTCATTTTATCCTTGTGTGCTTTTCAGCTTTTTTTGGGTGTGTCAACAGTAACGTTTCATGTAGGCCTAGTTTAGTTCTACTGCTCAGTGGAGGCCCTTCCAAGGGATCTGTCCTGTCCCTCCTGCTGTGAACTCGTTCCCTACTCTGGCTTGTAAGAGCTCTGGTCGTTTGGGGGCTCACTGCTTCCGGTGGCTCCTTCCTCACCCTGGGTGCTTTCCTCTGGCATCGATTTACGGATCAGTGCTCAGCCCAAATCTCAGGAGGCCCTCTCTGTGATCTCGCTTTCTCTTTATGCAGCCCCACCCACTTTGCTGTTCTGCCCTGCAGCTTCCGGCCACGTTGTCATCCCTGAGCCGGGATCTCTGTCGCTGTAACTCAGAAAGACCACTCTGCACTCTCTTCCCTCTCCTTAGCAAGCCCTGGAAACTGCTCTGGGCAGGAAACTCGCCTCATTTGTTGCCCTTCTCGTTTCCCTTCTCAACAGCAGCCATGGTGCTGCTACCTATGGTCCAGTGTCTAAGATGTGTTTCATATTTGTCTGTTTTGTTTTTTTTTTTAAGTTGTTTAAAGCAGGAAGTAAACCTGGTCCATTGTGGGTGTAAGCAGAAGTCTGTCTTTACTTTTGAATCAGAATTCCAAGGATTTGTATTACCAAAAAAAGACTATATATTACTAATTTTAGAGGGAGGCACCTTTTAAAGAGTCCACACTACTGTGTTAGAGTGAGAACTCTATTGTTCATATTTTAAGTTCAGAATGACTTAACCTCTTTGTCCAAATATGACTGGGTAGGTTTTTACCAACTGGCGTTTGCAAATGTGTTTGGCATCTGCATAATTATGTTTTTCAAAATTCACATCAGCATATTAAAGCCTCTGAGAAATCTGATGGTTGAGAAGCCTGTTTGCTTAATACAGCATTTTACAAACGTGCTTGACTTCACGTTTTGTCACCTATGACTATTAAAGTATGCTTTGGAAATACTGTCATAGTCATCAACTTTTTTTTTTTTTAATAATTGTGTTTATGTATTTGTTTTTGACTGTGCTGGGTCTTTGTCACTCCACAGGCTTTTCTCTCCGTGCAGCCGGTGGGGACTGCTGTCTAGTTGGCGGTGTGCAGGCTTCTCACTGTGATGGCTGCTCTTGAGCAGCGCAGGCCCCAGGGCACAAGAGCTTTGGTAGTCACGGCCCCCAGGCTCTAGAGCACAGGCCCAAAAGATGCCATGCGTAGGCTTAGTTGCTCTGTGGCACGTGGAATCTTCCCAGATCAGGGATCGATCCTGTGTCTCTTGCATTGGTAGGCAGATTCTTTACCACTAAGCCACCAGGGAAAAGCCCGTCATGAACGTCTTTTGTTCCTTGGTCTTCGTCACCATGTTAGTGGCTGTGTAAGATTGCATTGAGAATGTGTACTATAGAACCACTTTCTTACTTGGATCTTAAAGCCACTCTGATATTTCCACTATTGATGAGGACTGAGACATTGCTCAGTTAATTTATGTAGCTTTTTCTGTATATTAAATTATTATCATAGATTTCTAAAAGTGAGGTTATTGGGCCAAAAACTGTAAAATGTTTTTATGGCTCTTGATTTGTATTACCTAATTGATTTTCCAGTAAAATCTGTTAACTTCTGCATTAGTAATAGATTTTCAACATCGGGTGCACAAGGATTGTTTTTGCTTTATTTAAGGGAGAGAAAGCATGTGCTTGTCAACAAGAATTGGTAGCTGGATAAGTCGCATGAGTCTTATTCATGACTAGTCTTGACAGCATGTAAACCTCTGCTGAGATATTATCACATCAGTTAATGGTTCTCAATACAGTAGGCTTTTATTAGTCTACTTTTCTCTCCTCAATTTGAAGTTTTTTGAAGTATATGTTCTTTTGAGTTATAATCTCTCCAATCATAACTCCCCTCCTTCGTATTGAAACAGTGTGACTATGAAAACGTTCCAACGACTGTTTTCACTCCTTTGGAATATGGGTCTTGCGGTCTTTCTGAAGAGAAAGCTGTGGAGAAATTTGGGGAAGAAAATATTGAGGTAAGTTTTACTCTTCACTACTACTCTTTTCCCCAAAATTTAAAATAATTTCTGTCATAAAGAGAACCTGAAAAATAGTACAAAGGTCTTCTGTATAGCCATTTTTCAGATTCATGTATTAGTAACATCTTGCTCATTTGTTTTATCCTCTTCATATTCTCTTTATTTCCGTGCATCTGTGCATTTCTTTTTCCTGAACCATTTGAGAGTAAGTTGAATGCCCCTTTACCCATAAATGCTTTAATACTATGAACAAGGACATTTTCCTGCTAAACGTACGGTGGTTACTACTTTGTAGACAGCTTACTGTTGATATAATATTGTTATCTGACCCACCCTCCATTCATCAGTTTCATCAGTTGACCCAGTAATTCTTGGTTCTGTTTTTCAAAACCACTTTTACTGGTTTCTTTTTATTATTAATATGGTTAAAAATACAGGGAAAAAAACTAAAAAGTACCTACATTTCTACTGTTCTTTTAGCTTTTTTTTTTTCCCTACCATTGCCCTTTAATTTATAGCAAATGTTGCCAGTCACTTTTTATCCTATGTATAGTCAAGGAAGGGATTCCCTTGTAGCTCAGTTGGTAAAGAGTCTGCCTGCAATGCAGGAGACCCAGGTTCATTTCTTGGGTCGGGAAGACCCCTGAAGAAGGAGATGGCAACCCACTCCAGTATTCTTGCCTGGGAAATCCCGTGGACAAGGGGCCTGGTGGGCTACAGGTTATGGGGTCACTAGAGTCGGACACAACTTAGCTACTAAACCACCACCAATGTCAAGGAAACTGCGCATGAAGTAGACTACTTTTATATACACAAATGCTACACAAAGGGTCTGCTGTTTTAAATCATTTGGGAAAAAAGTTTTCAGTAAAACCTAAAAGACCAGATTTGTGAATCAGAGTACATTTTGTAATATGAAAGTCTATTTTAAATTTCTCAACAACTTCTTTTATTCTCTATTTTAGTAATAGCATGTAATATTGATCTATCAGTAACACATTACTAGCATTTTTTTTTCTGGTTATAAGAATAATATACCCTCATAGGAAATTTTCAGAATATTAAAAAAGGAAATTTTAATTCATGAAAAGATAACTGCTATTAATATTTTTGCATATTCTAGTCTAAGTTTCTGTTTTATATATGTATAATTTTGTGTTGGTATTCATAGCTTAATTTTTTTTTTTAGCTTAATTTTTAAAGTGTGGTTAAGTTACATGCAATTTTCTGTTGCACTTGGCACAATTAGTGTTAGGTCACAAGCATTTCCCTCTAAAAGCACCATTTTAAAAAATGACTTTCGCAATATTTCCTTTCAGGGGTGCTACTATACAGTAATTTTAAAAGCCATTTTATTAGATTAATTTTTCACTATTATGAATAGAATGATGAATATCTTTGTTACTCATTGTCTCTTTCTTTGATTATTTTCTGAGGATAGATTGCTATCAAAAAATAACTTAAATTTTAAGGTTCTTAATATTCTGTATTTTTTCAGATAATCTTTTGTATTGTTTGATTAGAATTTGCATTTTTCATTATAAAGGCAAGGCATTTGAGTTGAAGAAATCTTGAAAAATGCAAAGGAAATAGGAAACAATCACTCATAGACTTAATGTTTATAACACAGCTGTTGTCAGTAGTTTTTTTTTTTTTCCATTTATTTTTATTAGTTGGAGGCTAATTACTTTACAACATTGCAGTGGTTTTTGTCATACATTGAAATGAATTAGCCATGGATTTACATGTATTCCCCATCCCGGTCCCCCCTCCCACCTCCCTCTCCACCCGATCCCTCTGGGTCTTCCCAGTGCACCAGGCCCGAGCACTTGTCTCATGCATCCAACCTGGGCTGGTGATCTGTTTCACCCTAGATATACATGTTTCGATGCTGTTCTCTTGAAACATCCCACCCTCGCCTTCTCCCATAGAGTCCACAAGTCTGTTCTATACATCTGAGTCTCTTTTTCTTTTTTTGCATATAGGGTTATCGTTACCATCTTTCTAAATTCCATATATATGTGTTAGTATACTGTAATGGTCTTTATCTTTCTGGCTTACTTCACTCTGTATAATGGGCTCCAGTTTCATCCATCTCATTAGAACTGATTCAAATGAGTTCTTTTTAATGGCTGAGTAATATTCCATGGTGTATATGTCCCACAGCTTCCTCATCCATTCGTCTGCTGATGGGCATCTAGGTTGCTTCCATGTCCTGGCTATTATAAACAGTGCTGCGGTGAACACTGGGGTGCACGTGTCTCTTTCAGGTCTGGTTTCCTCAGTGTGTATGCCTAGAAGTGGTATTGCTGGGTCATATGGCAGTTCTTGTCAGTAGTTTTTTAAATCATTTTTCCCCCTGTGTAATTGTTGTGATACTATGATACTATACATTCAGTTTTTTTTTTTTTTACATTCAGTTTTGTAACCCACATTTATCAAAAAATTTGTATCATATTACAAGGAAAAAGAATGTTATATAATGTTTAGATAATCAGTGTGTCTTTAAAATATCCTACCAACCTTGTATGTTTTGAATCGAGCCTAGCAGTTGAAGGAGAAAAGAATCCTGTTAGTCATCCAAGACTTAAGTTTATGAAATGTCAGTAAGGATGTCTGTGTCCTTTCATCTATCATCCTTCCCTCCTTCAGCACTTTTGGTGGATAATTTCAGAGAAGGAGATGTCTTTGGAAGTATTAAGTAAGAGAACTAGATAATTGCTATAATTGTCCCTGGCACCTTACTTGTTTCTTGCCCAACTTGTCATTCTTTTGAGGTAACAAGATAGCGTTGGTCTTTTTTTTTTAATGCAAGATGGAAAGTAATTACATGGCTTCTTTCTCTCATTTGCTTGCACTTTATTGTTGTTACATAAGGTTTATTCATTGAAGGTTGAAGTATAATTAAGGGATGAGATTATGGCAAAAGGGTTGTCAACTATGAGTTTTAAGTTATTTACCTTCTGACCAGGTTCTTATATGTTCCATGAATTTTTTTGTTTAATTAAAGTCTGATTATTAAATATTAAAGAGCATCCACTGTCTTCACACTGCAACTAGTGTTTGGCAGACATACTTCTTGAGACAATGGGTCTAAATTGTGCTTCTGTCTTCCTAGGTTTACCATAGTTACTTTTGGCCATTGGAATGGACGATTCCATCAAGAGATAACAACAAATGTTACGCAAAAGTAGTCTGCAATATCAAAGACAATGTAAGTGCTATTCATATTTACTCCTTTCTACTGATTTCATTTTATTTTTACTATGCAGCTCTGTTTTGATCACATGATACACACATTGCATTCTTTTAGTATTCCACCTGTTGAGTCTCCCCAGCTGTGTGGATGTTACCCTAGGGCGAGGCCCATGATTACATGGCCTGACTCCCCTCTGCATGAATGTGTAGTGGGCAGGCAGTCAGAACCAATGAAGCCATTGACTATCTAAAAATAATGACAGAACAAGAAAGGAGTAACCCAGATTGTATCCTAAGCAGGCAGCACTAATGAGAAAGCTGGAATGAGGGAGCTCTTAATTGGGTTCTGATTTAAGATTTCACTGCTTGCTGCTTTGTGTAACGACTAGTAACAGAGACCTAAGGATAACCCCCCGGCCTCACAGGCTTTGTTCCCTTACCTACAAGGGGGTGAAGTCACTGGTCTCAGGCTTTTCTGACTACTGCCCCCAGCTTCTGTATTGTCATCCGGGACAAGTGTATGTCTGTGCACATGCTCTGTAAGTGTCCCGTGTGTGTGATGAGGACTCGGGATTTACTCTCTTAACAACTTTCATATCTAACTGGCAGCAGTGTTAGTTATATTTATCCTGCTATACATTACACTGCTTCGGCTTCCCAGGTGGCTCAGTGGTAAAGAATCTGTCTGCCACTGCAGGAGACGTGAGTTTGATTCCTGGGTCAGGAAGATCCCCTGGAGAAAGAAATGGCAACCCGCTCCAGTACTCTTGCCTGGGAAATCCCATGGATGGAGGAGCCTGGTGGGCCACAGTCCACGGAGTGGCAAGAGTCGGACACGACTGAGCACACGTGCATACACGTTATACCTCGAGTGCTTATTTAGTCTTAAAATTGGGATTTTGTACCTTTCGACTAGCTTGATCCACTTCTCCCTTCCCGAATCCCCTATCTCTGGTAACCACAAATCTGATCTCTTTTCGTGAGCTTGTTTTCAAAGTATTAATGACTTACAGCACTGTGTTAGTTCCTGGTGTAGAACATAAAGGTCTGATGATTTGATGTTTCTGTACATTTCAGATGATCACCATGATAACTCTAGTTACCATCTGTCACCATTCAAATTTATTACATCATTACTGTGCTCCCCACACTGTACTTGACTGTATGGTGACTTATTTATTTTGTAACTGGAAGTCTGTACCTTTTGGTCTCTCTTACCTTTGTGGGTTGAATCTTAACGAGCATTGGTATATTTTTAACTTAGTTGAGATCTTACTTTTTCAAAAAATATCCCCAGTAGAAATATAAACAGCTAAAAGAATCCATATGTTAAAAGCCTGATGAATTCATTTTTTTCATTTTGGGATTTGAATATGATTAAGTGATGTATTGGTTTAGTAACTACTGCTCTACACAGTAACACAGTTGCAGATTGCTTTTTTGCAGAGCCCAGGGTTCTAGAAAAACCTGGATTCGCTCCAAAAAAGGTCATCAATAGATATGTTTAATAAATGGACATACTAGGATTACCTCTAGCAAGCTATACAGAATTGACATAGAGAACAGTTTTATGTAGAGTTTTGTCTTTTTAGACATAGTTTTAATAAAGTCATTTGTATGAGTATACATTAGATACCATGCTACTACAGACAAAAGGAGAGAATGTCAGACTTTCACGCTGGCAGTCTGATGTCTAGTAGGAGATGCTTCATTTGCATACAGCAGTCAGTGAAACCTCAGAAGTTTCCTTTCTATCAAGCCAATCTATTTTAACTGTACCCAGTTCTTTTGTTCTTTTTTCTTTTACTGCTGTGTCATTTGTTCAAATGGCATTTTTTTATATAATATGAAAAATAACTTACACTACCAGTGAAAACTCTTTTTAATTAAAATAACTGAGGATGATATTGTTGTTGGATGGTATTGCTGTCAATTATTTTCATAAACAAAGTATTACAAGAGATGAATACTTGTCATTGCTCTTTTGTCATAAGCCATCTTACATAAAAGCTTGCTTCTGGTTTTTGACCATCCTTGGGGCAGGCTGTATTCATTTTGAGTTCGGTCACTTCAAAGTGACTGACTGTGCTTGGTTTTAAATAGTACTTGCTTGCTAGGCTTTTATTCTTTCTGTATGCTATGCTTTTTATACACAGTATATTTGAAATTTGCAGAAAGGAGTAAGGCAAGTGCCTACTGCAGACTCTGACTATTAACATGCTGGTGCACTTGCCCAGAGCTTCTCTTATGAGAGAGAGACATTTACGTCACAGAGGCAGTTTATAATGCGTGTGTGCTCAGTCGTGTCCTACTCTTTGCGACCCCATGGACTATAGCCCGCCAGGCTCCTGTGTCCTTGGAATTTTTCAGGGAAGAATACTGGAATGGGTTGCCGTTTCCTCCTCCAGGGGATCTTCCCCACCCAGGGGTCAAACTCTGATCTCCTGCCTTGGCAGGCAGATTCTTTACCCCTGAGCCACTGGGGAAGCTGGCAGTTTATAATAGGCTATATTTACTTATTGAATATGTAAAATGTGCCAGCCATTGCTTAATCGTCTACAGGTACTAACTTATTTAATCCTTGTATAATCCTGTGAGGTACTGTGCTATTGTTATCCCCATTTTATAGGTAAGGAAGCTGAAGTGTGGAAGTTAATTGTGCTAGGAGCTGAAATTCAGTCCAAGGCAACTAGAATCCATGCTGTTAACCTCTAGCCTAGTCGTCTTTCACATTCCGTCTTGGTCCTCCACCCCATTCCTTCCCTGCCCCAGAGGCCGCACTCCTCAAGTTTGGCTATCTCACTGTTCATACTTTTTATGTTTGCTGCCTATTATGTCCCATAAACATCATACATCGTGGTTTAAAGAAAGGTGGTATCCTCAGCTAAATAGAATCCTGTACCTTTTCCTTTTTAATCTTGCTTTTTGAGATCTATCCATATTACTGCATTTAAATCTAGTGTATTTTAAGAGCTAGTGTATTTTGTGCTTTATTTATCCGTATGCACGACTCCTGATTGCCAAAATGAATAAAGTAAGAGTTTCACATGAAGTGGATTACATACAGAAGGCCCTTCCTAACTGTTTTCAGGGAGCCACTGAACATCAGATAAGGCTCTCTGCCTCATTGCCTGAGCTGCTTCGTCTGTTACAAGAGGGTTGGATTGGATGGGCCAGCCCAGAGCTCGGAAAGGCTGCACAGTAGAATGCAACAGGTTTCCCTGCTCTTGGCAGGGGTAGCCTGAGTTTGGATTTAGCATTTATCCAAAATGATTCCCACACAGGTATTTCAGAATTGCCAAATATTTTTCTCTTGCTTTCAAAAATGTTTTCACATTGGAAGGCTCTCAGGTTCTTCTGTCTATGCCCCAAACTTCAGTTTAAATGGTTTTTTAATTTGAATGGCTGCTCTTAAATGTTTCAGCTACCACAGGTAGTTTACCTGGAGCTTTGAAATAACCGGATAGAGATGAGGGCACCACTAAACAGCCCTTTGAAAACACTTTCCAGAACATTTTGGTGCTTACGGGGTTGCACACACTTTTGCTTTTCCAAAGTGTTTTTCCTCATCATCACCTGTGACTGGTTCTTTCTCTTCCTTCTTGCTTAATGTGACCATAGTTCTATATTAGCCGGTGTTGCAGTACCTTCAGCCTACACAGTTTTCAGCAGCAAGCATCAGTATTTCTAAATGGGTTTTTTTTTTTTAGATTAGACTGGAAACATATTCCAGGCTGTTAAGGAGGGAAAATTCTGCATAATTGTATCACTTTTTGTATCTTAGGAACGTGTTGTGGGCTTCCACGTACTGGGTCCAAATGCTGGAGAAGTGACCCAGGGCTTCGCAGCGGCACTCAAATGTGGGCTGACCAAAGACCAGCTGGACAGCACCATCGGAATCCACCCCGTTTGCGCAGAGGTGCGTCTCCACACTCTCAGTTAAGGCTCGGTAGTGCCTGTCCGTGTGTGCTCAGTCATGTCTGACTCTGTGTGGCCCCCATGGGCTGCAGCCTGCCAGGCTTCTCTGACATGGGATCCTCCGGGCAGGAATGCTGCAGGGGGTTACCATTTCCTACTCGAGGGGATCTTCCCGATCCCGGGATGGAACCCGAGCCTCTTGTGTCTCCTCCACTGGCAGGCGGATTCTTCACCACTGCAGCACCTGGGGAGCCCACTGGATAGTACCGTCGTGCTGCTGAACAGTAAAACCGTGAGAGGGGTTTATGCGGATGTGCTTCAGATCGTTTATTTATCGTGTCATAAATCGTTTTCATGGCAGTCAGCTGATGACGACATTCATACCCAAAAAGAGCACCAGTCCCAGTTGTCCCCGAGCTCCCTGGGGGCTGTGACGTTGTCCCCTTGTTAGCTTTCAGTGTCAGAGAGCGAGGGTGAGAGTGAAGCTTGTGAAAGGTTAAGAAGACAGGAGGACTGGGACTCCCCGGTGGGGCCTCTGGGTGTCACTGTTTCTCCACGCCTGTCAGTGCTCATCCACCAGCGTCACTCACTGTGCTACGTGTCTGTACTGGAGAACCTGGAGGCTGGGGGGTTACCTCATCCAGAGGCTTAGGTACCGAGCTGAGAATTGCAGCCTGGAAGAAGTTATCTCATCAAGAGGCTTAGGTACTGAGCTGAGAATTGCAGCCTGGACGAATGTTCTCATTTCCTTTTGCTCTGTCTTTTCCCTGAGTGCCTTCCTCTATACTAATATGCACCTGTTTAGTGACCAGGGCATTATTCACAGAAAACTTTGTCTATGTTGTTTTGTTTTGTTTTTGAAAATTTGTTTTTGTTTTGTGAAACTGAATTTCAAAAATGATACATAAAAATTGACAAGAGAATAGATTTTAAAAAGCTCTTGAAGATTGTGCGGTGTATGTTTTCAGTGTCACGAGTAAGACTGTCTAGGGAAGGAGAGGAACCAGTTAGTTTCATTCTTTTTCAAAAACAGTTTGTTAGTTTCTTGGGGATGCCATAACACACTGTTGCAACTTAGGCCTTTAGGAACAACAGAAATGTCTTCTCTAAGAGTGCTGGAGGCCAGAGTGTGAAAGCAGGGCCATGCTCCCTCCAGGACCTCTGGAGACGAGGCCTTCCTTGCTTTTACAGACCCTGTGGTTGCCGGGAAGTTCTGACTTTTCTGTTTGTAGACATAGTCTGCCTCTGGCTTCATGTGGCCTTAACCTGCTGTGTGTCTGGGTCCAGGTTTCCCTCCTACTGTAAGGTCATGGATTAGGGCCCCGCTGATCCAGCATGGTTTCATTTTCACTTGGTTACATCTGCAAAGACCCTGTTTCCAACCAAGGTCATGATGTTCACCGGTTCTGGGGCCTAGGACTTGAGCTTCTCTTTCTGGAGGACTTTATTCAACCCACGATGGTGGGTATGGTTAAAAGTCTAGGATACTTTAAAACAAGTCATCTTCAACTGGGATAAAGACACCCCTTCCCAACTTGGTTATGCGAGTGTCTAGTTTTTTAATCTGACTTTGGTTCTCAGCAGACTGGTAAAAAGGCTGCCGTGAGCGTGGCTCCTGCTGCCTCACTTGGTCGTGCCGTGTCGTGACCCAGTGGCAGCACGCGGCTCTGTCTGCAGGCTGACTGCCAGCTGGGCAGAGGTGCGCTGGAGAAGGCAGGCGTCCTCCTGAAGCCCAGGCCCGCAGAGAGGTCAGCCAGAGGTTGCCCCCGCGGTGACCGGGCGTGCGGGAAACCCTCTTTAAGCCTTTGCTGCTGTGCATCTCCATCTGCTGTTTCTCTTCTGACTTTGAAGCTCAGAGGTGAACATGCACGCTTTTCACAGGGCTTTTCTCTTCGTCTTGTCTCCAAGGTGGCGACTGGTCGGTGAGATTGAGGCCCGCTGCTGCTGTCTCCCTGAGTGCGTCTGCCGTGCAGCCGCGCGCCTCGCTCCGCGCTGGGTGCTGGGGGGGCAGCGGGGCTTGGAGTCAGAGCAGCGAGGCGGGTGGGCAGGGCCGGGCACACATCTGCGTGGTGGGTCCCAGGCTCAGGACAAGCGTACAGGGGCGTTTGGGGCAGGAGGGCCGCGGGCAGTTCTTGCACAACAGGAGAAGAAGGCGTTCGCGGCAGCCCGTCCGAGGGAGCGCCGCGTGCGAGAAGCCTGTGCGGCCGAGATGAGGGCTATTCGGGGGCCCGACAGCCCTCAGGACTGCTGCCGCAGCGCACACCAGCTGTGGGTGGTTTGTGCCGTTTCAGTGAGAGAGCTGGGTGATTGACTGCACAGCCTTTGGCTCCGCAGTAGTTGCCTGCAGGAGTTGATGCATTCCTTGGTGGAGGCTTTGCTTCTTTGGAGGAAAATAGTTTGCACAGGATTTCCTTCTGCTGTGGAAGGTGGAGAGACTGCTGGTGTTTTGACTGAAAGCCCCTCAGTGTCGGTGAGAGGGGGAGTCTCAAGGCCTGAGGCGTCAGTGACGCACAAGTGTTACTCAGTTTGAGGCTGGTGTGGCCGGTTATTTATCCTGGACATCTGAGCAGTAATAATTGAGGAGGAAACTGATCACATGTGATTTTGAGTAGTGATTTCAACTAATTAAGTTTATCTGTAGAGAAAAAATAAGGGCTTAAGAAGAAGGAGCATCAGAGACAAGACCTGTGAAATGTCTTAAATGAATTTGTGCCAAACATCAAAAGTTTCGTTTCATTAATAGTCAACATAATCACAGTCTGCAGTGAATGGGATGAGGGGATCTTGTAAGGCTCGGAGGGGTTGGCCGGGTAAGAGATGTACATGCCTCCCATAGTGTTTATTTACCCTTTTGTGAGAGTGTTCTTTGTCCTGGGATCAAAAAGCTGCCTCTGCTCATTTTTTAAAAATATATTTTTAGGACAATTGTAAACCAGGTCTGTGCATATAGGATCCGTTTAGGAATTGACCCTGTTTGTTTTTTTCCATATAGACTAACCAGCTGTGGTGGTTTGGCTTGCCCTGTGTCTTTAACATGTTTCCAGTAGAAGAGAAATAGATAAGAGCTCTTTCTTTCTCCTTCATTTCTTTCCATTTTTGGTGGGTTTAGTTTTTTACCCATACATCCTACAAGTTCTATTTATAAATTAATTCCTGAGAAATAAAACATAAGCTTGCAAATTCACAAGCGTGAAATTTGCTTTAATGTATTCCCTTGCTCATTATTTTTCTTCCCTTAAAAAATTGGAAAGAGAATTTGTTTGATGGTATTTTAAATTGCCTGTAATACCAGCATCCAAACACAGCTATTTTCATTATTGCATATTATCTTGCTGTTCTCATCCACAGTCACACTTTTTTTTTTAAACAAAGGAGTTATATTGCTCTTCAAAAAAAGAGTTGTGCTAGTTTACAGCGTCATCAGCTTTGAATTGGAATGCTCGTGAAAATGTTGCAAAATTCAGTGTAACTTTTTCTGTAATAAGTTTAAAAGAAAGGACTATTTCAAGCCTTTTCACATATCTTTGTTAATAAGGATGAACTTCTTATAATTATTATTTTTGGGAATGTGAATTGTTCTCACATTTTCTTCTGGGTTCATACTTTAAATGTTTTACTAGCCATTATTACTTGGGTCTGACTTTTTTGCGGTGCCACTGATAAATTGGCATAGAGGGGAAAAAAAGGCTTTGTCACTGCTATAAGGCTAAATAGACTAAGGATTTTTCCCAGTATTGTTCCTCCTTTACACAGAAGTGTTTTCCCCTTTTATTCACAAGTATTTTTGATGCTGATTCCTATTGCTTTGACCTGTAGAAGTCAAAACGGCCTCAGTTTCTTGTGCTTTCCTGTTTGTATTAAAAATCAGGAAACCAGATATTTCTTGAGAATCAAAGATGCAGCTGACCAAAGAGGGTGTCCAGGTGTGCTGACAATAAGTCTTGCTTCACTGGGGACTCTCCCAGATCAGCCATGGCTTCTTGTCTCAGTGAGACACTCACTCGCTCGCTAAAGTGAAGTGAAAGTCTCTCAGTCGTGTCCAGCTCTTTGTGACCCCATGGACTGTACAGTCCATGGAATTCTCCAGGCCAGAATACTGGAGTGGGTAACCTTTAACTTCTCCAGGGGATCTTCCCAACCCAGGGATCAAACCCAGGTCTCCCACATTGCTAAACACAAAATTACTTTATGTTTTCATGCCGGAGCAGTGTGGATAGTCAGTTTGGGTGTGGCTTTGTTTTTGCCCGTATGCTTGGCGGGCTTTGAGGTCATCACAGATCAGCTGCAGCCCAGCTCCCATGCCGTTGTCACTCCAGGACCCAGCTGGTGGGGCAGCTTCTGGGGCCACTGTGGCTGAATGGCAGAGGGACGGGAGTGCAGGAAAAGCGCCTTGGTGCTCAGGGCTGGTGTTCCCAAGTGATGCTTTCCACTTCCCCACCTTGGCCAGAGCAATCCCCTGTCCCCACATCCATGTCCAGTGGGGCAGGAGTAGTTAATATATGTCCATACAGGGTCATCACAGGGAGGTGAAGGCACCATTTGTTTTGGAAACAGAAATATCACAGTAGTGTGAACACGAAGAAGACTCAGATTTGACAGAGAGGAAGCAAGATACCTAAGACTTAGGAATGGATGATGTATCAACAGGGTGGAAGCAGAGGGACCGAGAACCAGTTCCAAGCGCACGGCCTGAGCAGCCACGTAGCCGTGCTGCCGACTGCCGGGCGGAGCTGTTCCCGGGGAGACGGAGGGTCAGTGCCGGACAGAAGTGAAGTGAAGAGGTGTGGGGCCGGGCTCGCTGTCATGGTGCTCAGGAGAGGCGGTGGCTGGGGAGGCCCAGCCTCAGGGGATCTCTCCAACTGACTCAGTCTGCCTGAAAGCGAGTAGTCGACTGAAGGAGGTCCTGATAAGCGTGTCTAACGGGAGAGAGCTGAGGATCAGCTCAGGAAGGGGGCACACGGGGCTGTAACCACATCATGAGGCTCTCTGATCTGGGTGGGCACAGGGTGTTTGGAATAGTACACTTTATTCCCTTCTGTGTATCCAGAATATTTCATGGCATGTTTCTTGTAGAGAATTAATAAGCAATGAGAGAGATTGTTTTAACCACTTCATGAATCACATGCTAATAAGTGCTTTATTAGCTAGACCGTGCATTTTCTCTGTTTGACCTAGGTGAAATGCTTGCCTTGGTTGTATCGCTCCTCTCTTGCATACATTCTAAGTACTCAGCCACGTCATCCTTTGTACTTATGCTGTTATCTCAACTCCCCTGCTGACTTTCATCCCAGTGTCTGAACCTCTCGTGTTGTCTCCGCCCCTGCAGGTGTTCACGACTCTGTCGGTGACCAAGCGCTCCGGGGGAAACATCCTCCAGACCGGTTGCTGAGGTTAAGCCCCAGTGTAGATGCTGCCGCCTAGACTCCAAATCACCGATGTGTTTCTTGCCCAAGTCCAAGGCAAAGTGCTGCAAAAGGCTCTCGGGTTTGGCACCTGCGTGTCCCGTGCTTACACTCCCCAAGGCCCCCTTGGATCTCACGGGTGGGAGGTGATTCGTGGAAGGCAGGCAGCGTTGCATTGGGGTCACCGTGATGGACTCAAAACTGGCTTTTGGCAGAGCATCGGAGCGATGCGTCCATGAAGTCACCAGCCCAAAGCCCCTTGTGGTGGGTGGTGATGGAACCGTCAAAGCAGTTTTCTCTTGGCCTTTCCTTTGTGGGTTTTCTTAGACTCACTGTCAAGCTTTCTAATGTTGGTTCTTTTTTTCACTTTTTCTCCTCGGTGTTAGTGATACTAGAGATGATAGCAAACAATTTTGGTCCAAAAGCAAGTCATGGCTACCATGTGCAAATACAAGCGACTCGTCGCCAGGAAGGCATGGGGAAGCTTCCAGGCTTGTCCCCGGAGAGACTGCCCTGTGGCTCAAGTCTCCTCCCAGAACAAGGGAAGCACGGCTGGCCAGTTTGCTCACGTGCCACACCGCTGGGGATTGTTTTTAGTTCTGTTTAGAAAAGGCAGTGGCTACCTGGCCAGGCTATTTGAAGGAGTCTTCCACTACAGAGAACTTGGTAGTACAGTGTGATTTCCACCATTCCTCATCATGGAGGCAGATGTACACCTGAAATGGGGAAAAACAAAAAAATGTCATTGTTTAGTCTGTTGTGTGCTGGTCTAAGTGCGCTGAGATCTATTGCAATGGAAAACATTTAGCACTTGTTTAAAACTGTTTTGGGGAGTAGCTTTTGCTTTAAGCTGAAATCACAAGATACCACAGCTTTATTTTTCATGTGTGTTAGGTATCTATTCCTTTGAGAACTATGTTCATAGGAAAAAAAATCTTTCTACACTTGACAATTTAACTCTTGTGGTCATTGCTTTGTTTTTAAAAGGAAGCTGTTAATATCATAATTTATTATTTTTGAACACAGGTGGATGTGAAGGATTTTCATTTAAAAACCGAGTGGTTTTGACTTTTCCTGTTGACCATACTTGGTGGGATTTGGGCAGAAGTGTTGATGCTCAGCCAGCATTCCAACTCGGATTATCACAAAGAGGTATTAACCCTGCAGTTAGAGATTTCCGGCTACAGCTACTGACAGTGCGTTATACCTAGGCCATTTCCCCTCTACAGAAGTAGGGTGTTAAACGTGCTGTGGACGGCAGGCCTCCCACCAGCAGTTCTTGTAGCCCCCCCAGCCCCCTTTCGGGGTCTTCCCTCTGTGTGTGTCTCAGCCACAGCACTGAGCGGCTGATTCCAAGGACATTTCTCGATCACCTCAGGGAACTTGGTGTCCGCCCAGCAGTCGGTCAGCAGGGCCCCTGACCTCGTCTGTCCCACGGCCCTGCCTCACCCCGCCCCATCTGGTTGTGTGGAGAGAAGGGAAAAGGAAAAAGAGAGGGGAATTGAGGCAGCTGACTGTGTTCGGTTTTATTTATTATTTAAAAAAATTTTTTTTTCCCCCCTCCAAGTCTGCCAATCTCTGAAACTAAAACACAGGCAGTACAGGGTGATCAAGCCTAATCATGTTGTGATTCTGTCTTCTTCGTGGGATGGAATATTCTGCCCCCACAAGAAGAATCCTACTTTATAGACTTGTCTCTGTAATTGCCTGGTGTATTGAAACTCATTAAATTCCATGTATTTTTGTTATAAATCTTCTGGAAGAAAAAAAAAAGAAAATGTGAAACATTAAAAGGTATTAATATCCACTGTGTTGTGCCTTCTTACTGAATGGAAGTTTTGGGCTCATTTGCCTGAGAACTGAATGGACTTCAGGGCTCATGTTGGTGATGCTGAGAGCTCGGGTGCTAAGGTTCACTGATGCTGTGCTGTTGGGCCTGGTCGATGTGCAGAGGTTCATATTTTAGTCTTGTTGACCCCTTGCAGGTGGCAAGGTAGCGTGTGAGACTTCTCAGCCTCCATATTTGGGGCTTCTCCAGTGGCTCAGTTGTAAAGAATCTACCTGCAATGTGGGAGACCCAGATTCTATCCCTGGATCAGGAAGACCCCCTGGAGATGGTCCACTTTATCTAGAGAACTTGGACCAGAACAAACAGATCTCACCTTTGAAAGTGTATGTGGTCAGGTAGGGTGGGTGAATCTCCTCCACAGATACTAGGTACCAGGTACTGTTCTAGGTGGGAGAGTTCACAGTCAACAAGAAACATCAGTAATCCTCGTCAAAAATTATATAGAGGGAAACAAGTAAAAATAACCAAATAGGTCAGTTGTATTGAATGTTGGATGGTGTTAGGTACCCTGGAGAAAAACCTAAGCAGAGAAGGGGAGAAGTCTGTAGGGCGTGGGGAGTGGAATTTTGATGAAGGTGGTGGAGGTCGACCCCGTAGAGAAGGTGACATTTGAAGACAGAGGTGAAAGCGATTCCGGGGTCGGGTGGGGGGAAGCATTTCAGCAGAGGTCACCAGATGTAAAGGCCCTGAGGCAGAGAAGGACTGGGTTGGGGAAATGTCAAAGTGTAGCGTGGTGGGTGAAGCAGAGAAAGAATGAGTCAAGGTCAGAGAGAACAGGAAGGGGCAAATCAGGTAGGATCTAGAGTGGGAGCCGCTGGAGGGCTCTGAGCAGCGGAGGGTGGTCAGGGGCACTGGGGTGGCTGGGCTGAGGGCAGCCTGAGGCCTTGTGCTGGGTGGAGGGCGCCGCAGTGATCCAGGGGAGAGCGGATGGTGTTTTAGCTGAAGGTGAGAGGAGAACCAATAGGACAGACGCACTTAATTTGAGAGTAGAACCAAGAGGGCGTAGTGTTGGGTTGATTGTGCGGTGGGAGAAAGAAAGGATGATTCCTCCGTTTGGGGCTTCCACACCGGAAGGGCTGAGGCTAGAGGTGCCATTTCACTGAGATGGGAAAACTGGAGGAGAGGGGCAGGCCGGAGGGGAACATCAGAAGCTCGAGTTTAGGGTGGTGGGTCTCAGGTGCAGGAGGCAGAGGTGGTGCTGGGTTTGAGTCAGTGTCTACACAGCAGCTGTAACGGCAGCCATGAGATGAGTTGGTGGTGTTGAAGGAGGGAAGGGTGTAAGGGCAGTTTTGGGCCCTGTATAACTCTTGAGAACTATACACCCTCGGCTCCTCACTTTTATCCACTACATACTATGAAAAAAAGACCTAGTGTTTATAAGGACATTTGAGACCTTTTACAAAATGCTTCAAAATATGAAGGAAAAAAAAAAATCAATGCAGCAAAATTCTCATGGATAAATCTTTAAATGCTTCCCATATTATTTTAGCCAGTCAAATACCATCGGACCTGTTGCCCCTACATTTGTCCTTGTTGTGTTTGGTTTAATTTTTTGTTTTTTGCTGCACTGGGTCTTTATTGCAGTGCTAGAGCTCCAGAGCATGCAGGCTCAGCAGCTGGGGCCTGTGGGCCTAGTTGCTCCCTGGCACATGGGATCTTAGTTCCTGACCAGGGATTGAACCCGCATCCCCCGCATTGGAAAGCGGATGCTTAACCACCGGACCACCAGAGAAGCCCCCACTGCTCGTGCATTTGTAAATGTTAGGTCGAACACAGGAAGGGCTGCATTCATTCATTATATGTGGAATGATGCCGGAGTAATTCAGGCAAGCACCAGGGCATGGGGGGAACAAAGGCCTTAAATTGGCCCTGAGAGGAGCTGTAAAGAGATGAGACGTTATTAATGAGAACTGTGGTCAGGGCTTAGAGCTGCACCTTCAGGTCACTTTCTGTGCAGTGACTTGTCCTGTTAGTCTCTGTAGGAACCCTCAGAACTGTGGTGCCTGGTTTTCAGGTGAGCAGGGTAAGGTTGGGACTCACTTGGCCTTTTATGCAAGCTCCCATGGCTTGTAAAGCGCAGAAAGAGGAGGTGCGCCGCCTAGTGTCCGCCTCTGTGAAGAGCAGGCTGCTGCTTTGCAGCCCTGTTACTTTGCTTTAAACATAAGCTACTCTCCTGAAGAAACAAAGCCACAGAGCTAAAAAGTTGCAGAAAATCAAAATCAAAAGAAAAATACCTTAGCAGATAATGCCAGAGAAGCTCAACTACTGTATGTATAACTATAAAACAGCATCAAAACTAGGCATAAAACAGTAAAGACCTAAATATATATCGTACAACCATAAAGTTTATGTGGTAGATACCAAAAGTATCTGTAATGTAGAGGTGGAGAAAAGCTTCATATACCATGGCCTCAAGGTATAAACCATAGGGAATGTCCTGGCGGTCCAGTGGTTAAGACTCCATCTCTTACTGATGTGGGCCTGGGTTCAATCCCTAGTTAAGGAATTAAGATCCCACAAGCTGCATATTGTGGCCAAAAAAAACAAATCCACAAAGCATAAGGCAAAATGACTGCATCAAAAAGTCTGACCACAAAGACCACCGTGGAAAAGTTATTAGCATCAGGCGACGGCAATTTCAGTGTCTAAAACTGACAAGAGATTTAGACCCAGGAGACAGCAAGGAATTCTGGGTCATCAGTAAGAAGACAGGAGCCCCAAAGGAAAGGAGACAAAGGACACTGACTTGGTTATTCCTCGCGGAGGAAACCCCAGGGTTTTAACAAGAGGGCTGTGTGTGTGCTCAGTTGCTCAGTCACGGCCAACTCTTTGTGACCGCATGGACTGTAGCCCACCAGGTTCCTCTGTCCATGGGACTTTCCAGGTAAGAATACTGGAGTGGGTGACCATTTCCTGCCCCAGGGGATCTTCCTGACCCAGGGATCAAACCCACGCCTCCTATGTCTCCTGCATCAACGGGTGCATGCTTTGCCACTGTGACACCTGCGAAGCCTGAGATGAGATACGCGCCAACTCATGAGTGATTAAGAGGTGAATGTAAGTAACAAGAGGCCACTTCATACTCATCAGACCTGAGACAGCAGGCTGTTTAAGGCCGAGTGAAGGGACTCCCAGGCTCTGCTGGTGTGAGAGTAGATGGCTTCCCGGTGTTCAGACAGATGCAGCACTGTGCAGGGTGACCCAGCAGTCCTGCTCCTGGGCATCAGCCCCAGAGAAGTTGATGGATCGCGCATATGTGTCTCCAAGGGAACGTGCATGAAAATGTCCTGTGGCGTCATTTGTGGCGTTGGGAGGTTGGACCCAATCCTGACATCTCTCACTGAGGGACGGACTGCTGGACCAGGAGGAGGCAGGATGATGAAACAGTATTATGGGATGTACCATGATATGGGCGGAAAAAACAATAGGGAAGAAAGTGAACCCTACAGCCACTTGTGTACATTGTAAAGATGCTTGGACACCCACCAAGGCCCCCTGCAGACAGCACACTTTGAGCAGATCAGAGCAGCTGACTGCGGAGCGCCTTTACCATGGCGGTAAAGGGAAGTTGAAGAAAAAGAGAACACCGCCCTGATGCTGGGCTTCCTGCCAGTCCCTGACAGGTGAGTCTTAGCTTCTCAGTGCCGCTCTTTTCTTCCCCATTAAACAGGGGTAATGACGGCTCATCTCCCAGAGTTGCCGGAGGATTACGTTGTTTACACACATGGTCAAACGCTTAGAATAGCAGTGGGCACCAAGGGGGTGCTGGGTGAGTGGGCGCTGTTACTATTATCTGAAAATGAGTGATACGGTTCTCAGCATATGCGATCTGAAACTGAACTGGCAGCATTGTCAAGTTCAAGACAATTCCCTGTCCCTACCCCAGTCTGGCTCCCTCCTACCTACAACAGCCTCCAAGTGTCATTCCAGGACCCCAGGCCAGGGAGTCCCTTGGGAATTGGGGAGCATACTCCACATTTTAAAATACCTCCCAGGGACCCTGAGCCCAGCTGGTGAGGAGTGTGTCTCAGAGCCTCAGCTGATGCTCAAGGATGTGAGGGTGACCCCGAGGAGAGTGTGGGGTCAGCCGGAAGGAGAGGCAGACGGAAAGGCCCGCCTCTGCCTCAGGGCCAAGTGCAGAGAACAGGAAGAAAGACCCCTCCGTGCTCCGGGCCCGTGGTCACCAGGAGCCCTCACAGGCCTCCTCTGAGTGTGTGTGGGCTGTGTTCCCAGCCGTGTCCTATTCTGCAATCCCACAGACTGTAGCCCGCCAGGCCCCCCGTCCATGGAATTCTGCAGGCAAGAATACCGGAGTGGGTTGCCATTTCCTTCTCCAACCTCATCTGAGAGTAGTCACAAAATCAAACAGAGGAAAACACAGCTTTGCATGTGTCTTCCCCTTTAGGAACCCTGTAAGGTGACGGGGTGTTATCAGGAGCCAGTACTCCCCCCTCTCCCCCAAAACCCCGGTGTGGGGAGAGGATTTTGTGCGGGAGCTCTAGGGTGTGTGCATGTGCTGGGGTGGCTGCTTCTGCCACAGGCGCCTCCCTTCCCGGCCCGTTTCCTGCTGTAGTGAATTTGAGCCTAATAGTTGGTGAAATGAATTTCTCATGGTGAAAACAAGCAGGCAGGAACATGGTTTGGAATGCAATTACCTTGCCTCCTGTGTGGCTGGCACGGCTCAACAACTGCCTTCTTCTAAATTTCTGTTTATGATTCTTGTGGCATTCTGCTGGAGTCCACACTGAGAGCCATTAAGAACAGGAAGGGAAGAAAAGATCAGGGCTGGGCCTGCCCGGGGTCACTTCTGGTGTGTGTGGGGTACCCCCACCACCCCATGCGAATTTCAAGAGCCATGTTTCACAAGGGCTTAGCTCGCTGTCACGGTTATAAACTCTGCTCCTTCCCTGAGCCTCTGAAATAAGGATATTCTAATAAAAACACCCACTCTGCCTCACGTGACGAGGTGCTTACATGCAGTGTTTCATTTGGCTCCCAGATGGACCAAAGAGCTGGGCATTATTGTCCCATTTTCCAAAAGAACCTCTGGGTGGTAACATGTGCACAGAAAAGGGATAAACAATCTAGTTTCAGCCAGATTGAAACAAGAAGGAAGGACCCAGGCAGGGTCCCTGGATGGCCAGCCCCAGAGAACCCTGCCCACCTCCATCTGCTGAATGAGAGAGAGACACGTGTGTCTTATCTGGATGACTCTTTGAAGATACAGCACTCTGGGGTCCCTGATACAGCAGCGTAGCTGTCTGTACTTTGACTTATAGAGCTATTCATTTTTTTTTCCCAGAAAAGATTTAATGATATGAGAAAAAGCTTATAGGTTATAGTTCGGGGGAAAAATCAGTATATGAAAAGAGGATTCTTAAGAAAAAAAGAGAAGATTCTTAGGGCAGTGAAACTACTCTATATGATACTGTTATGGTGGATACATGTCATTATACATTTGTCTAACTAAACCCCAGAATGTACAAAACCAAGAGTGAATTCTAAGGGAATCCATGGGCTTTGAGTGATAATGATGTGTCTGTGGACTATAATGCATGTGCCATTTTGGTGGAGGTGCTGATGGTGGGGTGGCTGTGTGTGCATGTGTGTGTGGCTGTGTGTGTGTGTGTGTGTGTCTATGTGTCTGTGTGTGTGTGTGTCTGTGTCTGTGTATCTCTGTGCGTGTCTGTGTGTGTCTCTGTGTGTGTCTGTCTGTGTCTCTGTGTGTGTGTGTATCTGTGTGTGTGTCTGTGTATCTGTGTGTGTGTGTGTCTATGTGTGTCTGTGTGTGTATCTGTGTGTGTGTCTGTCTGTCTGTGTGTGTGTCTATGTGTGTCTGTGTGTGTCTCTGTGTGTTTATGTGTGTGTGTGTGTGTCTGTCTGTGTGTGTGTCTGTGTGTATGTGTATATGTGTGTGTGTGTGTCTGTGTGTATGTGTATATGTGTGTGTGTGTGTCTGTCTGTGTGTGTGTATATGTGTGTGTGTGTGTGTGTATTTGTGTGTGTGTCTGTGTGTGTGTGTGTAGGGGCAGGGAATATGTGGGAAATTTCTGTAACTTTTGTTCAATTTTGCTGTGAACCTAAAACTGCTATGTGCTTCCCTTGTGGCTCAGCTGGTAAAGAATCCACCTGCAATGCAGGAGACTCGGGTTCAGTCCCTGGGTTGGGAAGATCCCCTGGAGAAGGGAAAGATCCCACTCCAGTATTCTTGCCTGGAGAGTTCTTGGACTGTGCACAGAGTCAGACACGACTGAGCAACTTTCACTTCACTAAAACTGCTATAAAAAAATCATTTTTTTTAAAACCCCAGCTACGTAGGTATTCACCAAATGTGGGAGACCCACATGTTTTTCTGGGGTGTGGCCGCGGCCTTCTCACAGCTCACTGAGAGACATTTATCGAAGGCAATGCTGGGACTTGGAGCTCTGTGTCCCAGGGAATAACTGTCTATGTAAGATGCTCGGGTAGGTTCCCCAGGGTTCAGCTGGCCCTGAGGACCTCAGCATCCCTCCAACCAATGAGTGAGCAAGAATCCAGGGATCACAAGAAAATCAAGCCTGTTACTATGTAAGCGAGCAGCACATGACACATGGTATATCAGAGTGAGTTTATGACAGCTGTAGGCATTTCTGTGCATGTTTTTGAAATTAAGCTTTGCATCCTGTGCAATGGTAAGCATGCCCCAGGTTTTTGAATTCAACACAGCTCCTAAAGCTATTTATAAGAAATACACGCTTCGAGTTACAAGGGCTGATGTTGAGGGTCTGTGGCTATCTCCTAGAATCTGAGTTTACTTATGGATAATGACAGGATGTGACTGTCTTGAAACTTTGTTCATTAGATTCACGAGGTGTTGTGTCAGAGAAGAGTAGGAGCGTTAATTGTATTTATAATGAACTTCATTAGAGCATAAATAAAATGCATGAATATCTTGTTCGTTAGGATGAAGGGCTGCAGGGCAGGCCAGTGCCGTGCTGGGGACAGGGGTTCGCGCTATTGCTCCCTTTCAGCAGCGCCCCCGCTCCTTTGTCCGGATGCTCGGGACCCGGGGGCGCTCACAGGCACGCGTGTGCCGCACGTTTACACCGAGGCCCCTGTGCAGCAGGAGGAACAGTGTCCACGTGACGCTCCCTTTCTGGAAGTAGACGCATGTCAGGCGTGACCTAATGGAGCCTCCGTCCCTTGGCTGTAACAGAAACAGACCCCAGGTGGCCTGACGCTCTGTGGGAGCCGGGAGGCCCAGGTCCTGCTGAGACGCCCTGTGTAGCTGGGAGCTTCTCGGTAGGGCCTGTGCCCTCTGCCTGGGCTCCCCTTCCTTCAGGGGAGAGGGGTAGGGGAAGGGGCTGCTCTTGAAGCTCAACAAAGCACCTTCCAGCCTCCCTCGGGGGGGAAGGAGGAGGAGCGGGTGGAGACCCTGCTCCCACCCCCGTCCGGAGATCCCCGTGGGCTTCCTGTGTATCATCCCAGCCCCGATGCACGTTTTTGTCTCCTCTGTGCATTTACTTGGGCTCCTCTGGTGGCTCAGTCAGTAAAGAATCTGCCTGCAATGCAGGAGACCTGGGTTCGATCCCTGGATTGGGAAGAGCCCCTGGAGGAGGGCATGGCAACCCACTCCAGTATTCTTGCCTGGAGAATCCCCATGGACTTTAGCCTGCCAGGCTCCTCTGTCCTTGGGGTTGCAAAGAGCTGGACATGGGGTTGCTGAGCGACTAACCACAGCATACCTTAAAGTGGGCTTCCCTGGTGGCTTCCTGGTAAACACAGTTATTTGAAAAAGAAAACATATGTCAAAATCATAGATGGGAACCAACCTCAGTTGCCATAGAGATCAACTTTTTAAATAAATGCTTCACTTGAATATCTGAGCTGCCAAGAGGACAAGTGAAACTAACCATCCTAACGCAGTCTCCTCTCCCCCGTTTCCTTGTTGGAAGGCTTGGATGCTAGTTAAACCATCATTAGGCAGTCTCAGCATTTGCTTGAAAACCTCTTATCTTGTGATCCTCCTTGTTATGTTCGTTTTTTGTTCTCAGTGTGACCGGGACCAGTCAGTTCTCTCTGAATAAAACCAGCGAAAACTTGCGTGTATGTTTCAAAGCATTCAGGGCACAGAGAATGCCGGCTGGGCTGAGGTGTGTTAATTCATCAACCAGGGGAAATAGTCTTGTCAATATTTGCAGAGAAGAGACGTCTCCACGAAGTAGAAAGGCCACATTATGGAAATGGAATGTTTTGTGAGGAGAGACGTTTTAGAATCAGAGAAGGTCAGTGCAGAGGCTCAGAGGGCGAAGTGCTTGTCCATAAGAATATGGCAAAGCCCAGTCTACTGACTGAGAAATAAAATGAGACTTTGTAACCTATCCCTCCTCACGGCCCCAGAGTCCCATGTGAGGAGACAACAGGCATTTCCCAGGGATGGTTTTGTGGAAGAATCTAGATGTTTATGCCAGAAGGACCTCGGGGAGAACCACCGCTATGAATCACCACATTGTCCTGTGTTCTGAAATGGATGGGCTGCTTCGTTCCTCTTCAGTCGAAAAGGATTTAAGGGAGGGTGGTTGACCCAATAGCTTCTATTTTTTAAAATGGAGTTTAAAATATGTATTTGTTTGCTTGTTTGGCTGTGTTGGGTCCTGGTTGTTACACACAGGGCTTTTAGTTGCGGCGTGCAAACGCTTAGTGGCAGTATGTGGAACCCAGTTCCCTGACCAGGGAACAAACCTGGGTCCCCTGCACTGGGAGCGTGGAGTCTGAGCCACTGGAACCACCAGGGAAGTCCCAATAGCTTCTTAAATTTTGGACAAGCTGTGTTCAAATCCTAGCTTACCATTTGCTGCGTGACTTTGGGCTTGTCATTTAACCTCTCTGGGCCTCAATCACCTCGGCTGTGAAACGAGGTGGAAACATCAGTACCTCCCTCATGTCGCTGTTCCGAGGACTAGATCAGTTAACCTGTCGGTAGGGTACTGACAGGGCTTCCCTGATGACTCAGAGAGCAAAGCATCCGTCTACAGCGCGGGAGACCCGGGTTCGATCCCTGGGTCGGGAAGATCCCCTGGAAAAGGAAATGGCAACCCACCCCAGTACTCTTGCCTGGAAAACCCCATGGATGGAGGAGCCTGGTAGGCTATAGTCCATGGGGCCACAAAGAGTCAGACACGACTGAGTGACTTTAATTTTCTTTCAGGGTACTGACAGGGGCTTCCCAGGTGGCGCTAGTGGTAAATAATCCACCCGCCAATGCAGGAGATACAAGGATGTGGGTTCAATCCTTGGGTCAGGAAGACCCCTTGGAGAAGGAAATGGCACCCCCCTCTGGTATCCTTGCCTGGAATAAATTGCATAGACAGCGGAGCCTGGTGGGCTGTGGTCCGCAGGGTCTCAGAGAGTTGCATGCGACTGCCTGCACACACAAGGGTGCTGACAACCAAGCTGGCCTTAGAAAGTACTCCACTGATGACGTTTCGCAGTCTCTCAGTCATGACTGACTCTTTGCAGCCCCGTGAGCTGCAGGGTGCCAGGCTTCCCTGTCCTTCACTATCTCTGGGAGTTTGCTCAAACTCATGTCCATTGTCGACGATGCCATCCGACCAGCTCATCCTCTGCCCCCCTTCTGTACGCAATCTTTCCCGGCGTCAGGGGCCTTTCCAACGAGTCGGGTCTTCACATCAGGTGGCCGTTGGTGTTAGTGGTCATTTTTGCACATGAACCATTGGCAGGCTCAGACCTGGCCATCAGGAGACACTGGCCTTTTCCCATCCATACTCGTGAATGTCTTCTGTGATCAGTCAACTCAAACATTTCCTCTTTGTTTTCTCTTTGGTAACTGGAGCTGTGATTTTACAAGCAATTGTGCATCCTCAAGAAGGAGTGCATGAGAGACGGGGGTGACTGTGTGTTGATACATGGCATAGCGCAGGAGCTAGGAATTCGCACTTTGCCAGCAGACACGTTTTGGTTTGAACTTGGTCACTGCTACTCACCAGGGAGATCCTGGAGAAGTTATCTACCCTCAAGTGTAAGGGAAAGTTGGTAAATGCTCCTGGGTCAGAGGGCTGCTCAGAGACTCAACAGGACAATGATGAAAAAAAGTCCTTGGCACATGGTAAGTCTTGGGTAAGTGAATTTAGTGATGATAATTCAGTCAAAAGCAGCCCGTGGCTGAGGGATTTGCCTCCTGATTATCGGCCCTATAACCCGTCATCCCACCAAACGGCAGACTCAGACCAACTGCAGGGCCAGTGTTTTACTCCGGTCCTGACTTTGGGTGACATGCTGCCGTTTTCCCACCCCAACCACTTCTGGTCACCCCTCAGCCTGCTGACGGGGTCCCAGAGCCCTGGAGAGCCAGGCCCAGTGGCTGGGCTTTGAGAGGAGCTGGGTGTCAGGAGCGGGTCTTGGGTGGAGATGGGGGTGGTAAGCAGGACTGGACCACCTCCGCCCTGCGGCTGGAGTCCCCACTCCTGTTTCTGTGCTGTGTGGGGGTGGGCGGGGGGCCCCAGCTGCAGTTGCAGCCTTCCCTCTGTTAGGAGGGGAGTGAGTTACCCGACCTGGGAACTGGAGAGAAGGCCCTGAGCACACTCAGCATGTCCTCTCCCCTTTGAGAGCAGCCTGTCCCCAGAAGAATACTTCCTGCCCACACTGCACCCCACTTCCCAGCCATTCAGAGAGGCAGGCCCCTGGAGGGAGTGGTGGTGGGGAGCGGCCTGTGGAGACCCAGACCTGCTCTGGGACGGGATGCAAGTTCAGGCCACAGTGGCCTCTCAGGCGCCTTGTACGTGGTCCCTGATCTCCTGCCCCATGGCTCCGGTAGGGATGAGCTGCTCTACGTGGAATATTACTCAGACAGAAAAAGGAACACAAATCAGAAAATTATTACAGAATACACTGTTCAGCCTTTGAGGCAGAGACTATGTCTGTTTTGTTCACTTACCCCCTGGGCCTAATGTAATAGGTATTCAGTAAACCTATATTGAATAAATAACAGAAAATTAAGTAGTTGGTCTGTGAATATACCACCTGTACAAAGATGTTTGTTGCAGCATTATTTATCAATGTAATAGTGAAAAAAGATTTTTTATAGTCTGGTGAGAAGTTTGTGGCATTGAATATGATGAAATGGATGCTATTATTAGAGTCAAGGTGAGGACTGTAAAAAAGCATTAGAAACTGTTATGGAATATAAACAAAAAGGGTATAAATGAAATCTAATAATACTGTAATCAGTATTACAATTACAATAAACAATATAAACATGGAAATTTGTATGGATTAAGATTGGAAGGCATGCTTAGAAATAAAGCTATTATTGTGTAAAATCAGTGGGCTTATGAGCGATGAAGTAACACTTTTGATATAAAGTTTTACAGTGGATTCTAGAATATTTTCTAAAAATCTTTTAAAGAAATCCTGGCAGTACTTTCTAAACAGATGAGCCAGTTGTTTGCTGTTTTCCAGGGTCTGTTTGGTGAGCTGTGAAAGGTCACATTGGATGGGGGGGCTTCTGAAAATTTCCATCTCTGCACGTCCTGGTGCAGAGCAGTTAGGACCTGACAAAGTTATTCTTGGCAAACGTGATCTGTCTGAGTTCTCGGCACAAAGAGCCTCCAGCAACCGAGGTGCTAGGACCTGTGCTGGTAAAACCCGGCCCAGAGTGGGGAGCTAACAGAGGGCTTTTCAGGCTTTTATTTCCACGTCTGTTCCCTCTCCTCTTCCTCTTCTCTCCTTTCGACTTTGGTAAACACCCCGGGGTGTATCCTGCACTCTTCCAGGTCCGTGTGGTTGGAACACGGGGAAGGATGGCTTCTCCTGATTCCTGCCCTGTGCTGCTCTGGCCCGGCCTGGCCGGCCGCGGGGCTGCCCTCGTCCGCCCCTCCCGCCCTGGCACCAGCCTGTGGTCTCCCAGAGGACCCCCCCGCCGTGCCTGCTCTCACACCTCCGCCCGCTGGGCCACCCGTGTCCTTACTGCCCTGGCTCGATTCTGTGGGACCTGCTGGTGTCTTGCCCAAGCACTTGGGGAAACTTCCTTCTGTAACTGCAGCTTCGCACTATCCTGGGCTTCATTTGCAGCACCCGTCCCCTGGGACGCGGAAATAAGTCTCTGAGGAGGTCCAGGTGGGGCCGGCCTGGGCACTGTCCGACACAGCCAGGGCGCCAGGGCCCAGAGGACCCCAGCATCACCCGGTCAGACAGAAGCCAAGCGGGGCCACTGGGAGCAGTTCTGCCGTGGCTCTGGTGGGCCCTTCCTTCTCCCCAAATTTCTGGGCCTTCCACTTAGGTGAGTTAGAGTAGCCTCATGCAGGTCAGCTTTGGGGGCTGACAGATGAGAAGGAACTTAGTCTTTATCTGACCCCACCTGGCATCACGGACAAGCAAAGACTTTCATTTCCCTTTTATTTCCCAGTGCCGCCATTTACTTGGGCAAGTTTGTATGTGTGATTTTTTTTTTTTTTGGCTGCGTGGCATGTGGAACTTCCCCAACCAGGGATCAAACCCACAACCCCTGCATCGGAAGCAAGGCGTTTTGACCACTGGGCCACCAGAGAAGCCTGCCTAGGTGGGTTTAATAACTGCTCTCATCTGTTCAGAGCTGGTTGGGTGTACGCCAAGAGTTTTGTATGCTCTGTTCTCTGCAGTCTTCTCCACAGCGCTGTCCTCTTCAGAGATGAGGCCCAGAAAGGGCAAGCTACTGGCCCAGGGACACCCAGCTTGCAGTTGGTGAAGCCAGGATCCAAACACAGATGGATTTTCCTCCCAAGCTGCTGACTTCATCCTTACCCTGCCTTCCTTCCTCCTGTCCCGCTAAGCCAGTTTCCCTCACAAAGCAGCAGAAAGACTATAGCCCATGGTTCCTTCTCCCAAAATCTGAGCTACAAAAGTTCTGGCCTCTGAAAGGTGCTTTTTTTTTTTTTTTTAAAACATGCTTCTAGCTCCAAAACGTATCTAGTGGCAAAACCTGACCTGAGCTGCCATGAGGCTCTTTGTGGTCTTGAATTGGCTCACTTACTGTCAATCTTCATGTGTTTTACTGAGGAAATCATAATGAGTTGGATTGTGGATCTGCCCTGGAATCTTCTGGAGGTACAAGATGGTGCGTAGAATATAGAATCCAGAAAATTCTGAATTCTGAAGTACATCTTGTCCCAAGGGATTCAGATAAGCGCCATGGATCTGTATTAAACTGCCCACTAACCTCACAGGGGCCTGGTGCTCACCCGTCCCCTGCAGGAACTCGATAGATGTAGGCAATTTGATCATAAAGGTCAAAAGTTGATATGTATGTGCTCTTTGACTCAACAATTCCTCTTCTAGGAATTTCTTCTAAGGATTTAGAAATAGGATATTCATCCCAGCAAAAATCTAGGGACAGCCTAAACATCCCAAACCAGAGAAACAGTTAAAATAAGAGCTGGTATATTCATACAGGGGATCGTGATATAACCATTAAAACCACTTCTTGCCTTTTAAATTTAGTACTGTGGAAAAATACTAAGTGGCCAGGGCATGGGGAAAACAAATTTACAAAATGGTCTGTACTTTATGGTCCCATTTTTGTGAAAGGGGGCGATAAAACGACAAGAAAGAACAGTGCCAGTACATTTGCACTCCTGGAAGAACCATTGTCTGATTTGCATCTCTCTCCTAGACAAAGGGTGGCCCCGGGGCGTCAGAGCGCTCAGCTGGCTGAACTGGCTTTTGATCTGTGATAATGAAGGACACTGTCTGTCCATTCTTCTGTCACTAGGATCCTTCCTGTCCTCATCCATGCTCTCCTGGAGTGAGGGGCCGGGCACAGGTGGCCAAAGCCCCCAGACAGATTTTAGTTGGGCAGTTTCCGCAACCTGATGTGGGGTCATTCAGAGATTCTTTCACCCATTCCTTCAACAAAGGTCTTTTCTTTGCGGAGCACTGCGCTTGATGCC